ACCTACTTCCGCTCTTCCACATAGCGAGCTCCTACTTCCACCTGCAGCTCCTCCAGGGCAGAGCAGCCCTTTTGAATGTGGTAACCACCGTCTCCCCGGAAGAGTCCCCTCCATCCTCCCAGGGTCCCTGGTGGGCCAGAGAATTCGTTTATTTAATAAATTTTGTTAGAGAAGCCTTCCTAGAGTGACACGGACCCGCAGAGACGGTTAGCGCTGGGTTCCACATTGAATCGAGATGGTGACTAAATGATTTGGAGGCTGACAAGACTCAAGTTGTTCCAATAAGTTCTATATCCCCTTCTCTGGGTCACTGCTCCTGTATTTGAAGCTGTTACCTTTCGCCACCCATGGGGCTGCACTGCCAGCGATTCCTGCACTCTGAGAGGCCAAGACAGGAGGACCTTGAGTTCGAGTCCAGCCTGGCAACTTAGCAGTTTAACAGCTTAGCAGGAACCTGTCTCGGTGTCGCTCAATCTGGACCCAGGGTTCCACGCCAGCCCCTGGAAAAAGCCGTGGTCCCTCCTGCTACTGTGGGGAGAGTCTTTCTTAGGGGAAAGACCCTTTTTTTTTTTTTTTTTGGTGCTGGGGATTGAACTCATGACCTTGCGCTTTCGAGGCAGGCGCCAGAACCACTGAGCTAAATCCCCAGCCCCTAACTTTTTTTTTTTTAAGAAATAGCATGAAGATGGGGCTGGGGATTTAGCTCAGTGGTGCTGCCACCTGCCTCGCAAGCATAAGGTCCTGAGTTTGATCCCTGGAACCAAAAAAAAGAGAAAGAAATAGCATGAAGATCAAAGAGATCTGGTGCCTCTGTTTTGACATAATAATCCAGTAATCCAGGACAGCTTATTTTAATCTCTTCACCACAATAACAAAAGCGTCTTCATGATGCAACCTACAGAGTGGCAGAATATGATTTAACCAAGTTTTAATGCAGCTACAGGAAACTAAACTAGAGGTGACACAGGCGAGCACAGATGCCCGAGGTTCCCTCAGGCTGGAGTCACAGCCTGGTCCCTGCGGACCCAAGGCTGACAGGAAACGTTTCATGTGGGAGGGAGGGCCAGCTGCTGGGACCCTGGGAGGTTCTGTCTGACCTGCAGGCGCCCTGGGGGTCTCCACCTGGGGTTCTGAAGTTTTCCCTTTTTTTGAGACAGAGTCTCACGATGTAGCCCAGGCTGGCCTCAAACTCACAGTGATCCTCCTGCCTCAGCCTCCCGAGTGCTGGGATGACAGACGTGTGCCACCAAGTTCTCCCTCCTGGCCAGCTTCTCCTGCTCCAGCTCCTCTCCCACGTCCTCACTGTCACTCTCTGATCTCACCTGTCACTGGGTTCTCCAGGGTCTGGCAGGCGCCCCAGGCTGCCGCCCCGTGAGAGCCAGTGCCCCACCCTGGTCCCGTCGGGTTCTCGGAGTGAAGGCCTGGCTGGCTGAGGGACAGCTGCTCAGGGCCACCGGAAGGATGAGGAGGGCGGGCACAGGGTGCCGCCACTCCATCTCGGTCTCAGGGGGGGAAGCAGGACCCTCAGGGGGCTGGTGGCGAAGGCGGAGTCAGCTCTCCCAGGTCTTGTACACCAGGCCCTGGACTTCTTGGTTTAGAGAGGGGAAATCGAAGAGCTGAGACATCGTGATCCCTCTGACCCAACCCAGAAACTCCGCGTGACCAGCTGCCCCGCTCCGGGCATCTTCCCGAGGAGTTAAAGTCCTCTCCCCACAGGGTCCTGCACGCTGTGATCGCAGCAGCGCAGCTCACAATAGCTGAATCCTGGAAGCGGCCTTGGTGTCCGTCCACAGATGAGCAGAAAGAGCAAACACGACATTTACACACCGTGGAGCACTACTGTGCCATAAACAAGGATAGGCTTGAGCCATTGGTAGGAAATGGATGCACCTTGAGACCATGATGTTAAGCGAAACAAATCAGACGCATGAGCTTCAATATCACCTGGTTTCTCTTATATGAGACACCCAGAGAATAAATAAATATATAGCTAATAGGAAACAGGGAGACACATCTTTCACGAAAGGTAAAGGAGCCGAGGGATGGAGGGGTGACAGCAGAATGAAGGTGTGCTGCGTGCACAGACTGCGAGCCTGGGCTGGGTCCACGGCCCAGGAGCCGGCTCCATCTGCCTCCCAGCTCCTCGGCTCCTCCTCTCCTGGGTCCCAGCTGGCCGGGGAGGACAGGGACCTTGGAAGCACTCACTGCCCTGCCAGGTGCTCTCCCAGGCTCTGCGGCACATGCTCCTCCTCCCTGGTGCGTCCTCAGTGGCTCCCCAGGGCCACGGGCCGAAGATGGTGTCACCAGGACCCTGAGGCTCCTCTCTGGGTCCTGTGCCCTACGCAGAGGACAGATGGCTGTGGGAAACTAAGTAAAGCAGGCGTGGTGAGACGCTGACTCCATAAACCGAAGGAAAGCCAAGAAACAAGGAGCCAGAAGTCTGCAATTTCGCTGGGAGGCTGAGGCAGGAGGGTCACAAGTTTGAGCCAGCGTGGGCAGCTTAGCAACATCACAAGGCCCTGGTTCAAAATTTAAAAACAAAAGGGCCAGGGATGTAGCTCAGTGGTGCCATGCCTGTCTCACAAGCACAAGGTCCTGAGTTCGATCTCCGGTACTGAGAGAATAGCAACAACAAAAAACAAAATAAAAAGGTCTAGGGATGTGGCTCAGTGCGAAGGCCTGGAGTTCAATCCACTGTACTTCAAAAAGAAGAAAGGAAGGAGGGAGGGGAGAAGTTGCAGGTTCTCCAGCCAAGGCCGTGAGGAAGCTGCTGTGGTCAGGCGAGGTCCAGGAGCCCAGGGTCCGGGTCGGCGGATGGAGGCCTGGCCAGGTCTCAAACCCAGGACTAAGCCAGCGGGGAGGAGGGTTCCGGCAGGGACACAGAGCGCAGTGTCCTGGCTGCAGGGCCAGTGTGGTTCCCAGCGTGGTGTCCAGACCAGGAGGCCAGCGGAGAAGGGAGGTGAGGCATCGTGTGACAGGGCTGGATTCGAGTTGGCAGCGGCTGGAGGGGAACACACATTCCGAGGGGCGGGGTGGGGCGGGCGGAGCAGAGGGGAGGATGTGGCAACCACGTGGGGTGTGGCACATGGGAGGTGAGGTTGGCAGGACGGAGGGCGCTGCAGGGCACAAGGTGGGGACAAGACTGTCATTCCCCGGGCAAGAGGCTGAGGCAGGAGCTGCTCTGGAGAAAGGGCTGAAAATTGAACTCCTGCATCACGAAAACTCCCCTAAGCCCAAGAGAAGCCATGCAGGAGGACACAGCCCAGAGACCAGAGCTCAGGGGGCGGTCAGAGCTGCAGATCGGAGGAAATCCAGAGCAGGACTGGTGGCACACGCCTGTGATCCCAGCACTCAGGAGGCTGAGCCGGGAGGATCCCTGCAAGTTCAAGGCCAGCCTGGGCCACAGAGTGAGATCAAGACCAGCCTGAACTGTACAGCGACCCTGTTTCAATTAAATAAATAAATAAAAACATGAAGAAGAAACTTAGAGCCAGGGGACAAGGTAGGTTCCCCTAGGGAGAAAGGAGAGCCAGAAAAAATAAATAAATAACGTGGTGGTTTTCCAGGAGAGTCAAGAGAAAGCGGGAGGCTGGCAGCAGAGACAAGGCGGAGGACCTCGAGAACTCGGGCCCTGACACTCCGTGTAGCCCCAGGGCATGCACAGTGCTCACGCACGGCAGGCAGAAGCAGAATGTCCGGGAGCCCCCCAGGGCTGGGAGAGGGGAGCACCAGACCCTGATGAATTTGGGGCTTTTTAAAGGTTTAGAGAATTTATTAACGATTAGTAGAGCCATTCCTTGGGTTTGAATTCAGAATCAGAAATTACCAGCTTATATTTTCAGATATTTAAGATAAAAACACTCAGTACAGAAGTCTACAGAATACACAGGTACAGCCCAGTGTGTCGGCTCACACCTACAATCCTGGCACTCAGGAGGCTGAGGCAGGAGGACTGCCTCAAGTTTGAGGCCAGCCTGGGCTACATATGAGTTTTAAGCCAGCGTGGACTACATAGTGAGACCCATTTCAAAAAGAAAAAGAAAGAATACACAAATGAACCAGTAAAATTGAGTTTCTATACCACATCCAAACAACTCTCTTGGAACCTTTGGAATTCCTGTTCTTCTTTGGTTGGGTTTTGTTGTTTTGTTTTGTTTGAGACAGGCTCTTGCTATATAGTCCAGGCTGGCCTTGAATTTGAGGCAGTCCTCCTGCCTCAGCCTCCTGAGTGCTGGGTGGCAGGCTACACCAACTCAATGGAATGTGTATTTCTTTCTTACTGCCAAAGAGCTGGGTGTTTTCCTAAGTTCCTGGAGGGCTAGGAGCCGTTTTTGAGTCTGCTGCTCCCCAGGGTCACAGACTGGGGTAGAAACTCTCCCAGTCCATGCTGTGGGCTCTGGCCCAGAAGCCTTGCCTGGAGAGAAGCAGGCTCCATGTGGGATGGGGCTCAGGCGGCCTGGGGACGTACACGTGGTCCCAGAGTGTCACGGCCCAGTGCTAAAGGGTCCCATAGGGTCGCAACATTTACGTCCCCCAGTTCACATGGAAACCCTAATGCTCAAGGGACAGCACTAGGAGCCCGGGCCTTGGGTGACCAGATCACAGGCAGAACCGGCAGGAAGGCTCGGCGCTGTCCTGGAAGGGTCCTTGCCCCTGCAGGCCCCAGCAGCAGTGCCCTCTGAGAGCGGGTGCCGGGGTCTGGCACCTTCCGGGCCCAGCGCTGTGGGGAGGGAATTCCTGCTGTCTGAGCCCCCGGCCTGCCGGGCCCCGGGGGACAGGGTCAGGGTCCTGCTCCAGCCCCCTGCCGACCCTGAGAACCTGCGTGGAGAGGAAAGTTGGCTCACGCTGTTGGTTTCAGTCATAAAAGTGTATTCATTTAAAAAATTAATAAATGGACCTTATGTGGGGAGGCCCTGGTGGTGCCTTAAGCGATGCTGAGTACTTTGGACTCAGGTGCTTCTCCGAGCTCCCTAACACCAGTGGATTTGTCTTCTTTCCCAGGGTGCAGCACAGAGCCTGTCCCGGAGCTGCGTGCTCATGGTGCTTGCAGTGAGGGGCTGCTCGCTGGCATCTGTTTTCGTAACCATGTGGCTGCTGGTCAGAGCACAAATAGGTAAGCATTTCTGTAAGACAGGCCGTGGGCGGGTTTGTGGTCTACATCCGGAGTTGCAGATGAACGGAGGGCACATTCGGGGCAGATGCCCAGGCCAACTCCCATGCTGCACCTTCTGGCACTGAAGTGAGTACCTCTGGCTGTGTGTCCACAACTCGTATGTATTTCACTTACTCTAACAACGAACGTAGGGGTGCGATCCTGCGTCTCCTAAGAAGGCGGCATCGAGAATACCCGGCTAGGCATGGTGAATACATGTTTTCATCGCAGTGCGTTTCAACAGCGCCTTATCACAGGACATTCAGCTCTGCTAAAAAAAATCACCCCTGACATTTGCTTTGCTTTCTTATTGAGAGCTTAGTTTTGGCTTTTGGGGCTACTAGAATCAAAGAACATGAAAGAAGAAGCCAAGACCAAACACGTCAGATGAGAGAAAAAGGGAAATTCCACTGTAGCTTTGAAAATAAAAATGAAAAATGTCGTTAAAAATAATTTGCAGTTTTTCTCTCACTTGATTTAAATAATTTCTTTGCTAGTTCCTCTTTATGGTAGCTGATCCCAGCGATCCTACTGTCATCCACAGGACTTTCAGTAGAGGTCGTTTATATCCAACCTGAAATTCAGGGTGAATCCTTGCTTCTGAGGTCCTCTCCTTGATGCTTGCTGAGACCCCCCCATAACTGCTGATTTATGAGTTGCCATCGTATTTTTAATAAGAAACTTCCAGGGGGAAGCAAATGGCCTGTCTTTTAAATAAGGGTTTCGTGTAGCGAGCAATAGTAAATAAGACGAACTCTCGTGTTTCTATCAGCCATATCAGATGGTGGCTCATGCGCCCCAGGGGCTGGTGTCTGGCAGAAATATCAAGATACAGCGCGGTGAGACCCCTTGCCAGCCCGGATGTCGGCCACAAACAGACCAGCCTTTGCGTGTGGTCCCTTCGCTATAAAATAATCCGCGAGGCTCCGCAGAGCTTCTCCCAGGAACGCAGCGGAGAAGGGGTCATCCTGAGAGCTCGTCTTGCTATGAGTACCATGTGGAGGCAGCCTTTCCCAATCACGCGGGAATGTGATTTATTCTGGGAAGCCCTGCTCAGTAGTCTGCTGTGAAATTCGCATAGGAGGAGGCTGAGTTTCCCGGAACTGTCTTCCTGAACGTTCCTCCAGCGGTGCGCCCTCGCCGTGTTCCTCTATACGGTTCTGACGACGGCACTGCTGGGCTGGGGGACGCGCATTGTCACCGAGTGGGCGCTTTCGGTGGCCGATGCTTCTATTTCGATCTCACCCCCTGAGCACGTCCTCTTTCTCCCTGCAGACGTGTGCCGGCTGGGCGACGTCACCGTGAGACCGGCCAGTGTCGTGCCTCTCGGCGTGGCGGTGGAGATCTCCTGCTCGCTGAAGCCCGGCCAAAGCTGCCTGCAAGGCTCCGCCTTCCACAGACTCATCCTCTACAAGTCCGGCACGGAAATCGGCTCCCACCAGGGCCCGGCCTTCAGCTTCCGAGTGTCGGACCTGCCCCTGGGCACAGCTGTGTTTGTCTGCAAAGCGGTCTGCGCCACAGGCACCCTAGCCCTGGTGTGCGGGGCGGAGGTCTCCGTGGGCGGTGAGCTCGCTTTCTGTGCTCCTCACAAACACCCGATCTCTGGCCTTTGCCGGGTGTAAGCAGAAATCTGCACACGGGAGAAGTCTTTCTTTTCCCACCACCGGAAGAATTTTATCTTGGTATCATTTGAGCATCTCAATTCGGGAAAGCAGAAATCAGTAGAATCGGGGTCCTGTTTGGTAAGAGTTTCCTCTTCCTCCCCCTCCCCTTCCCCTCCTCTCTCTGGCCATTGGGACTGTTTTACCCTTTGTCTTTGAACTTCAGTAGTAGGAAGATGGACCCCGCAGCAGTCACTTAGGAACATCCTCCAAAAGAGCAGGTGAAAATACATCAGCAGGGGAACAAAAGAAGTGTCCCCATGTCCCATCAGGCAGCATTTACCCAGTGGGCCTGAACTCATCTGCACCACTGGCCACAGCTGCTGGGAGGGAAGGACTAAAATGCCAGGGCTGGCAGCTGCACGGGAAGCCAGGCATGATGGCGAACAGCTGTAATCACAGTGCTTGGGAGGCCGAGGCAGGAGGATCTCCAGGAGTTCGAGGCCAGCCTGGGCTACACAGTGAGTTCAGGGACAGCCTGGGCTGCACTACAAGACCCTGTCTCAAAAAGCCAAGAAAAGAAAAGAAGGCATATGGGCTTTGAATCCCAACGCTGCTACTGGCCACGGACACTCAGACACTGAGCTCCCCTGAGCCTCGGTTTCCCCACCTGAGTGAGGAAGATCCTCACTCAGGAGCATCCTACCTCATGAGCGATGACCCGAGCCCTTGTATGCAAAGCACCTGACCCAGTGCCAGGCCAGGCGAGGCATCGGGGTGCAGAGCACTGGGCTGCACTTCGTCCAGGGGGCTCCATGTGGGGCTGCGGTGCTGCTCAGCGACAAAGCTCAACTTATCGTGGAAACCCCGCGGGCCCTTCCGGCCCTGCCCTTGGGACACCAGCCTATTTGACCCACTGAGTCTCATCTCACAGTCTCACCAGACCAACAGTGCCTGCTTTGTTCGTGACTCAGCCCTGCGGTGCCAGGTCCAGGTGCCCACAGGGCTGCGGACACTTTCCGCCTCGCAGTCAGCACCTACGGGCACTCAGGCAGTAACCACGCATGCGCACTGCCCTCTCTGAGCAACTTTAGCGCCTTCGAGAAGGACTGGCTGGAAGCGGCACCTCACTCTGAGTATGCGAGTCATTCCAAGGAGAGACTCGGTGAATTTTGGTTTCAGACAATGCATCCAGCGCAGTGCACGTGGAGGCGGGGAGCTGCTCGGTGCACCAGGCTGTGCACTCCACAATCTCTGAGGGCCTGGCTTCGGCGGGACTGGGTTTTCAGACTACGAAGAGGAGGCAGGTTTATGCCTTTCCTTCCGGCTCCTTCGCCTGCTGCCCAGAGTTGACCCAAGTTGTGCAGAAACTAAACAGTCAGTGCACAAGCTGAACCTTGAAGACCAGTCCTCAGGCAACTTAGGCAATCAAGGCAATGAATGAAAGACAGGGACTCCTGCTTGGCTGTTTTCAGTACAACGTAAGGTCTGGCTGTTGACGTTTCTGACAGCTTTTTCTCTAAACTTGTTTCCCATACTGAGACGGGTTTTTAAAACAGTAACAACCATGCCACTGCTCAGTGTCTTCCTTCCCACTCTATTTAACTGTCTGCAGCCTGAGGCTGGCTTTGTCCCTTTCTTTGCTTTGAGAAGAGCGGGCTCAGGTGTCCCTGGGACAGATGGCCTGTGGCAAAGCGGAGTCCTGGGCTGGGGGATGTCACGATCCCCCAGCTGAGCAAGTTCACTTCACAGTGCGGCCTGAGGGGCAGGTGTGAGGCCTGTTCCACCCTGCAGAAGCGCAGGTGCAGGGCTTGCCTCCTGTTCGCGGCTCCAGGGTCCGAGGAGGGGGCTTGAGTCCAGATGGCCACTGGACACACAGATTTGCTTCCTTTCTGTCCCTACGGAAGCCCATAAATTCTACAGGCACAAACCATTGAGAACAGAACAGAAGCGAGGTGCAGTGACTAAATTTTGGAGGCCAGAGCAGAGCCAGATCGAGGTGAGCAGCTCAGCCTCTGCCCGGCACTGAGAAAGCAAAGCAGAGACTCACTGGGCCCCGAAGGGCTTCCCCGACACACTCAGAAGTGGGGGACGCCATGTGGCAAAAGTGGGCCTAAATGCGGGAGATTTGACTGGCCAGCGTGTGACACCAGCCCACGTCCCAGGCCTCTCCCTGCCACCACGCCCTAGCCAGGCCCGGTGCCAGGCTCACAGGACAGTGCTCAGAGGAGCCGGGCAATGCCACTGAGAAAACAGAGCAGCTACAGGGACCTGTGCACACTGCACTCCCCAGCTGCCCGCCAGAATGCTCAGCGAGGACACTGGGCCCTGGTCTAGCCAGACATCCTGAGTCAAACCCTGAGCCCCCAGGGGCCCCCATTCACTCCCACGCGGAACCCACTCTGTGTTTACTGCCTTCCAGGCACATGAGAATAAAATATAAAAATCTGAAGCAGATGTCACACATGAAGGACAGAAACCAAAACAGCCTAACAAAGCACACAGCAAAGGGGGCAGGCAGAGTGGTCAGAGCCCAGCAGTGTTGGAAGCCGCCCCGATGCCCTAGCAGCTTAGGAGAAAAGATTATGTACAAAACAAAAGGAGGGCGCCAGGGAGGAAGTGTTCAGAAAACTGGGAACAAGCCCCTAAAATTAAAAAAAAAAAAAGATAAGCAGAAATGAAAAACTCTGTTTTTCATTTGGCTTTGGAAAGTAGAGCAAAAAGAACAGGAGTTTCCAATACAGCAAGTGAAATATAAAAGTAAGGGAAAATCCAACCTGTGAAAAATAGGGACTTTCAGAAAGAGCAAAATAGAGGGGAGGAAGCAGAGAAATAATTCAGGAAAGTTTCTCAAATTGAGGGACAGGGGCTCTCAAAGTGTGGGTCCTCTGAGAATCTGGAAGAAGGGACAAGAACAGACCCTCAGTGAGCACATCTCCAGGAAAACACAGGACAGCAGAGACAAAGCAGAGATTCCACAATCTTCCAAAGAGAAAACCATATACATTGATTGATTCAAGAATCTGACTGGCTCCAGGCCGTTAAGACCAGCAGCAACCTGAAATGTAAAAGACACCAAAGCACAGCCTTCAGGCACCTTCGTGACTCTTCCCAAGGTGGAATGGTATATGCAGCCAGAGAAGTAATGACTTTCAACCCTGCTCAGAACATTTCCTCCCATGCACTCTTTCCCAGAGAGCTACTGCAGGGTGTGCTCCACCAGGACAAGGAACTAACCCAGGAAAGAAGAAAGCACTGCGTGTAAGAAGCCAGAGGCCCATCATGGGAGAAAGAAGAGAGAATATCTGAACGCTGAGGGTGGCAGTCCCAGAATGAGCCCTGTGTAACAGGGAAGGGCAGCCTGTCCTGGAGGAAAGATCACAAGGCTCTGGAGAGAGGTCCTCACACAGATGGAATGGATACACACCTGGGGCATTTGAATGTGTTGAACAGTGCCTCGGATAACTGGCATGGGAGTTTGGAGTTATATTAATAATTAGGAAACAAAACAAATGGAAGAGCAAGATAATCACTCACTCCAACACCAACAAAGTCATGTAGAACAGAAAAGTTAACACAGTATTCTATGTGAGTCAGTCATGAGTAGTATATGTATACATATGTAGACTGTACATGTAATATTGTGCATGTCCATATATATTTACATGTGTACACACATGTTTATGTATTGTGTGTGCATGTGTGTTTATACATGTTTATACTCCCATGTTTATAAATATGCTGCATGCATATGCATATTTGTACACAAGGAAAAGTCTATTTTTTTTTGAGACAGGGTCTTGCTGTGTAGGTCAGGCTGGCCTTGAACTCACTATGTAGCCCAGGCTGACCTCAAACTCAGGGCAATCCTCCTGCCTCAGCCTCTCAAATTCTGGGATTATAAGCATGTACCACCACACCTTCCAAGGCTATTATTTTAAGAAAAGGAAAAGTTTATTATTGCAGTAAGTAAACTATATGAACTATCTATTGTTATGCCTGTTTTATAGATGAAATTGAAGCTGTGAGATGCTAATTTGTCCAAGCTCGCATGGTGGAGGTTACTGTGCCTGTGTCTATGGTAGCTTCTAAGGTCCAGGAAAAAAACCATTTATTCCATTAGTTACATCTGGGGGGCGGGGGTATCTAGGGCTTCGGCGGGATTCTTGTTTGCTCTCAGCCCCAGGTATCTGTGTACTCGTGGGTTTCAGTATCGGGGTGAAAAGGACGGCCACATAACAGAGTATGGCCTCTGAGAAACTCCCCGCGCTCAGTCCTACCTGTGACTAGAAATGGCTTCATTTAAAAACACACCTTGCAGTGGAAAGGCCCATGCTGGCCCCAAGCCCTTTTTCTGTGCCCAGGAAACCCCGCACCCAGCCCCCGGGAGGAGCCAGTGCTTCTGTCTATAAAGAATCAACTCAGAAACCTTCATGGCTGTGCACTGCCCACGTCAGGGCCAGGCGGTGCCATCCAGTGGTGGCCAGCAGGGTGACCAGCCCTGCATGTCGTGCAGATGGAGAGAAAGAGTCCCCACAAACGGCTGGTGTTGGGTCGGCATCACTGGAAACGTCCCGATCTTCACCAGGGCTCGTGGGTCAGCGCGGGTCTCACCTGCCGGGACCTGGCAGCAAGCAGTTGAAGGGAAGCACACTCGACTGCAGCCCCGGCTCTGCCACTGCATAATTTGCAGCCTCTGGCCGAGCTCACCTCTAGGTCTTCATTTCCTGTTTGATGAAAGATGGGTAATAAAGGCGTCTGGTTATGAAGAACGCGCATAAAACACTTGGTGCATAGCAAGTATCTGATGGCATTAATTCATGTCTGGGTGGCAAGGCTGAATTTCACAGGCCCTGGCCGTGTCTCGGGCTGGGAGGCTGGGGAGCCACACTATTGTCATTTTATTGGCAGATAATAGCAATCTGACCAAAATATCCCTCGCTCTTTCCAAAGCTGCTCCAGAGTGCCCTCGAAATGTGTCTTGTGTGCAGGAGGGACAGCATGGAGCCGTGGCCTGCTCCTGGGACCCCGGCCGAGATACCCGCCTGAGCCATAACTACACGCTACAGTGAGTGTGCAGTGGCCCCGGGGGTCCTAGGTGATGCTTGGTGATAGCGAACAGACTCATGCTGGCCTGGGGGAAGCAGCCGGAGACACCTCGGGACAGCCCTGTGGCTCCTATCCATCACAAAGAGAAAGCAGAGTGTCTCAGTAAACACAGTCTGTCTTGTCGACAGGCTACATGGACCCGGAAATTTAATTTGGCAGAAGCAGTGCGGGAATTACTGTCGTCGCCTGGACCTTGGAATCAGCCTCAGCCTTGAACTACTTGAGTCAAGTTTCACAGCTGAGGTTACCGCTGCAAACCACCTCGGAAACGCTTCCTCGGGCCCATCGACGTTCACATTCCTGGACATAGGTACGTTGGGTCCAGTGTTTCAGGTGTCCTTCGTCGGATGTGCACAATATGCTTTAGATCGCTCAACGCTCCTGTGCCAGCTCCCCGGAGAGGTGTGAGGAGCTGGCGCCCGGCCGAGGGCCAGGGAAGGAGCTGGAAGTCACCCTGACACAGGAAAGGTGCTATGCCAAGAGGCAGGCGGGGTGCGCACCTTTGATCTCTGCTTGGAGAAGTGCACTCGGAGCTCCACACCCACAAACGTGCCAGCTGCCAAAGATAGCACGGCCATGCAGGGCCCTGGGGGTTGTTGGGGAAGCTCAGTGAGGCCCCAGAGGTCAAGGCGTCCTTTCCCCCATGGCTTCTCCCACAGCCCACAGATGGGCCACGGCAGCCAGAGACACGCGATCAAATAAATCCGGTGTCTCGAGGTTCAAGTGCATCTCGCTCTGAGAATTCTCCACACCCCTCCCAGCATGCCTGAGCTAATACAAGGCGAGGTCAAAATATACAGTGAATGTTTAAATTTTTTTAAGTATATTGCTGGAAAAGACATATTGCCACGAATCCCCCTCTAAACCCTCCCCCTGCTTCAAACACACTCAACCCATCGCCCTGGCCACATTCTGCAGCAGCTCTGGGGTGCTCTTTCCTGAGCGTCTTTAGGAGGTGTGATTTTTTAAAAGTCAGTGACTGCTGCTGCTGAGCGCCAGCCAGCAGAAAGGCAGCTCCTAAAACACGAAGATGCTGCATCCTTGTCCGCTTTATTCACCAGATCTGGTGCCTGAGACTTCTGGCTCCTCCCCAAAGTCAAAATGAGCAGGAAAGGGAAAGGTTTAGAATGAGTCAGGACACCAAGGCCTCAGGACAGCACAACTAAAGACGCTCAGGAGAGAGGGCTCCAGAGCTGCTGCAGGAAGTGGCCAGGACAGGGGACGAGTGTGCTCAATGCCAGAAGGAGGACTGGAGAGGGATTCATGGCGATGTCTTTGATTGTGGTAAATTTTCTAACATAAACATTCACTGGACTTGTCCATCTCACCCTGGCCCCCTGGCTCTGCGAATCAGAGGCCAGTGTTCTGGGCACCCCAGACTCTGCCCCTCCCGGTGGCACGGGCTTCCCTCACCCTACCTCTTCCTGTCCCCACTGCACCCCTCGCCCCTCTCCTGCCTGAGTCCGAAGTTTGCCCACACGGCTCTGCTCTCCGCCCTCAGTCCCATCCTGTCCCCTGTGTCCCTGTGTCCACCCCGCAGCCACCCCTGCCCGGCTCTGGCTCCCGGCTGCTGGACCTCCTGGCTCTGGACACTGGTTTGCTTTAAGTCACCCGGGAGAAGCAGAACAGAGATGTGGGGGAAGAGGGTGTGCTGAGGCGAGCTGTCTGTGACCGCCCGAGTTGGCTGGCCCTCTGCAGTTTCCCATCACCAAGCCTGAACCGTACTCTTCTGTCTGTCCTGGTTCCTAGTGAAGCCGCTTCCTCCGAGTGACCTCAGAGTCCAGTTCCCGAATGGGTCTGGCAGCCGCTGTACCCTCCAGTGGACGGACGAGGCCTGGGTGCTGCTCAACCGGCTCCGGTACCGGCCCGGGGACAGCAGATCCTGGAGGACGGTAAGAGCCTTCGAGGGAGGGGCGCTAGAGAGTTCTCAGGACCACGATGCAGACTGCTGCCTGCTGTAGGAGCAGAATGTGGAGTCAGAATATTTGGCCGGGGTTGGACATGGTGGCACACGCCTGTCACCCCAGCCTCCCAAGTGTTGGTATTACAAGTGTGTGCCACCACACAGGGCTCAAATTTTCCTTTGAAGCCAGCTCTCTGTCTGTGTTGAAACATTCATCACTTGCTAATTGTGTCCAAGTCAAAACTAATCCTTAAGAGTGAAAGAATCTCCAGTGTGGAAGCTTCTCTGAGGCTTTTTGAAAATCAGTAGTTTCAAACTCTACTCATTTTTCTGCTGCTTTAACGACACCCCCAGCCCCCACTCAGGCTCTTAGTGCCCAGAGACTGGGTTTTGTTTCTGAGGAGAAGCTGTGGCCTTAGGTCAGTATGATGCGTATTCAGTACGGGTCCTTGCTGTTTCTTCTCTGGTGGGCGTGGAAGCATCGCGGCCACCTGATCGCAGCCCTGTAGGTTAAAGTGCTTTCCGCTGACTGAGCCTGGCCAGGCGCCCAAAGAGCTTGGGTCCCACGCATGCCCGCGGGCCGTGTCTGTCCCCAGGCAGGGCCGGATTAGGGGCTCAGGCGGCGGGTGGGCCTGGGTTGAAAGAACGAACGGCGCATCCCTTCCCAGGTCAGCGTGACCGACGCCCAGGGGAGACACGAAGGGCTTCGCCTGGAGCCCTTCACCGACTACGAATTCCAGGTCTCCTCTAAGCTGCGTCTTTCCGGCGGAGGCTGGAGCAACTGGAGCGAACCCTTGCGGGCACGCACACCCGAGGAAGGTTTGTGGCCGTGGGCGGACGGGGAGGGGCAGGAAGGAGGGGCGGGGCGGGGACAGGGGACAGGCGACCAGGGCCGGTGCGGTATCCAAAGTGTGAGCGTCCACTTACAAGTGATTTTTGAGCCAGGAGTACTGGCCTTTCATCTGAACAGTTGGGAGGCTGAGGCAGGAGGAGTTCAAAGCCAGCCTGGGCTACATAGCAAGCTCCTGTCTCAACCTCCCCCCAGTTCATGCAAGTGGTAACTAATTATCATTTTTTATTTAAAAACATTTTTTTGAGCCAGGGTCTCTCTCGCCTTGTAGTTCAGGCTGACTCTGAACTCACTGTGGAGCCCAGGTTGCCCTCGAAATCTCGGCGATCCTCCTGCTTCAGCCTCCCGGGTGCTGGGATCACAGGCCTGTGCCACCATGGCAGGCTGGCGGCGTCCGAGGCGGGCGATTCTGTTGCTCTCCTCACTGGGTGGAAACTTGGAGCTGTGATCCGGGCTCCTCCTTCCTTTCCACCCTAAGCCTAAGCACTCCTCCTCCGAATCAAACCCCTACAGGCCAGCCAGGCTACTGTCAGAGGCGGGCTGGCCCTGGGCTCCCTCCCTCGCTCTGCCCCTGCGCCGGCTGGGCCCCTCCCCGGGAAGCCCCTGTGGTTTTCACCGCCCCCCTTTCTCTCGGAAACACCTGCAGCCGACCTAGGTGTGAAGTTTTTTTGACACATCCTCCCTTTACCCGCTCCAGGTGCACAAGGTGACACAAATCTCGAGTGAGCCTCTCCTGGGGGGGCCGGCTTCTCCGTCCTCTCTCCCCACTGCAGCTGCCCCACCTGGGGAGGGCCCCGCGGCCACCGGTCACCCAGCTGCCCAGCTGCAGGGAGAAACGGCTTCCTGTGGGCGAGCACGGTCCCCAGTCAGTGCCCCCGGCAAGAGTCACACGCCCTCCTGTGGGAGACTTCTTTTTCCTCCACTTGTTTTTTGTTTTTGCAATACTGGGGATTGAACCCAGGTCCTTTGCATGAAGCTACAAGCCCGGTCCTTTTTTAAAAATTTTTAATTTTGAGGCAAGTTCTCACTAAGTCGCTATGTTCCCCAGGTTGGGCTTGAATTTGAGTTCCTCCTGCCTCAGCCTCACAGTGTTAGGATTACAGGATGTGCCACCATGCCCAGCAAGAGGACATTCTTTTGTTTTGTTTGTTTTTGAGAACAGTCTCACTATGTAGCCCAGGCTGGCCTTGAACTCACAGAGATCCTCCTGCTTCAGCCTCCTGAGTTCTCGGATGACAAGCACATTCTCTTAGCTCCCAGGCCACACTGTGAGGGGAAGAGAAAGAGTTTTTAGGAAAGATTTAGGGACCCAGCAGAACCCACTTAGAGAAAAGATCAAGGGAGGGGGAAGTGACAGTCACACAGGAAGTCAGGAGCCATCGGGTCCCTGGTGGGGAGGCTGGAAGTGGCACCCACGCCTGCCTGGCCAGGAAGGGACCTCACCCCAGCCACCTCAGCTTCCCCCAGGGTGGGGTCAGATGAATCCTCGGCTCAGCAGGAGAAGAGGGCGCAACCCCGGCCTTCTCTTGGCTCCCAGGAGACTCCGTGACCTTGGTCCAAGGTTGCAGAGCTGCAGTGTGCCCTGGCTGCTGGGGCTCACGGTTAACTGCTGCACAGAGCTGTGCCAGTGGGGCGGGCACATCCCAGTGCTGAGGAGGCTGAGGCAGGAGGATCGCTGTGAGTTCAAGGCCAGCCTGGGCTGCATAGGAGACCCCGTCTCAAAACACCAAAAACAGAAAGAATCATACGCACTTTCTTTGAGTTGTTTAAGATCAAATACTCATGTAGAAGTGAAACATGCATTAGTATGTTTTAAAGATAAGTTAGGAAATTCATTTCCTCACTTATCATCATTTAGAATGTCTCTTAGAGGTCACCTTGCCTTTGCTGACATTACGGCCAACAGCGTCCTTGCTTGTTCTTAAATAGTAAGAGGAGCTCGGTGTGCAGAGAGCATGAAGCCTGCCAGGCCATCCTCCTAGGCTCACTGGCCTAGGGACCCAGCCGGGCCCCTGGGCGGCATTGTGACCTGGGCCCCTCTCCACCCGCAGAGCCCTCGGGGACGCTGGACGTGTGGTACCGGAGCCAGCTGGCAGCCGGCGGCCGGCAGGTGTCCGTGTTCTGGAAGGTGAGTGCCCCCTGCCTCTGCCCTCTGCCTCAGGTCTCCAGCCCACCACACCATCTGCGACTGGGTCCCCTTCCCGTCCCCCTTACACGAAGGTCCCAGTGGTGACCACGTGACCCTCTTTGCTCACTCTTTGGGCACACTGCAGGCATGGGAAATTAGGAACGTATTTTGTACAGTCATCGAAGGAGAGGTACAAGGCAGGAGAGTGGTGTACGCCTGGGATCCCAGCTACTCAGGAGGCTGAGACAGGAGGACCCCAAGTTTGAGGCCAGCTTAGGCTACCCTGTCTCAAAATAAAATGTAAAAGGCCAAGAGACAGCTCTGAGGTAGAGCCCTTGTCCAGCTTGCTGGGTTCAATCCCCAGTGCTGGATGAAGAGGGGAAGGAAGGAAGGGAAAGGGGAGGGAGGGGGCCAGCTCGAGGGGGTCCCAGAGAGGAGCCGGCTGCCAGCAGCCACCATGCCGCTCAGACTTCACTTTAGAGCAGAGCTGCTTTGCTTTTTGGGGGTACCGTGGATTGGACTCAGGTCCTTGCACTTGCACAGCAGGCGCCAAAACTGCTGAGCTAAATCCCCGGCCCCAGAGCTGCCTTCGTGCAGGACGTTCTGGACGCAGGACACGAAGGCTGCGGTGCCTGGGAGAGGGCGGAAGTCGGGCGGAAGTCAGGGCAGGCGCCAGGTTTCTTTGTTTACAAGGAAGCCATTTCTTTGGTGTTTTAAGTTTTATTTTGTGAGCCCACGTCTGCAGTGTGTGATGCTTGCGCTCCTGGTGGGGCGTGGGTCCCTGCACACAGCAGGGCTTCGCTCTTTCTTCATCCCCTCCTCCTCCTCCAACTCCTGGTCCTCTTCCCTTTTGCAAAAGATCCCTCTCCCTGTTTCCAATGATCTGTCCTCTACTTTCCTCTTTATTTTTACTTCGGGTTTCTGCCAAATGCTTAAACTCATGTGTCTGGTTTATTTCACTTAACACTATGGTCTCAAGGGGCGTCTGTTTTCCTACAGATGACTCAAGGTTATCCTTCTTCCTGGCAGGGTAGTACTCCATTCTGTTTAAATGGCACATGGGAGCGACTTGTTAAGGCTGGCCCCCTCCCCAAGACGACTCCTCCCAATCTGTCCCCACAGGGACCAGGCCATGGGGCCGTGGGGATGCTGCCTGCCTCTCTCCTGGGGCGTCCTGGGGAGTGAGAGGGTAACGGCATGGGCTCCGGGACAAGTCAGCCAGCACCATGCCTCCCATGTTCATCCCAGTGGTGGCCAAAATGTACCCAGCGCCCCGAGGTTTGGTGCCACGCCGGCGCCTAAGGGAGTCCAAGTCCCCACTCAGGACCACAGAGCACACGGGGGAGCCCTGCTGTGCCACTCACCCGGGCCTAGGCCCACACCCCTGTGCCCCCTTCATTCTGAAAGCATGGGGACCCCAAGGGACGCTCATGTGGACCTGTTGCCCATCAGCACAGAGGGAGCTCTTTCTACAGTGCCTCTCCCTCAGCTGGGTGTGGCATGCACCTGTCATCCCAGCACTTGGGAGGCTGAGGCAGGAGGATCTCCATGAGTTTGAGGTTAGCCTGGGCTCCATAGTGAGACCTTATCTCAAAAAGAGGAAGGAAGAAAGAAAGAAAAAAGCAAAGCTGTCCTTTTGTGCAGCCCACACTGCTCTGAGAGCTGAGGAACAGAGCCCGGTGCTCCTACTTGGACCCTCCATGCCCCTCCGGGGTTGTCCAGCCCACACTGCTCCCCAAGGAAACTGGGGTGCAGTGCTCCTGTGAGGCTGTGAGGACTGACCACTCCTGTCCTGACCTGGGCCACTTCCTGGACCAGAGCTGCAGATGGGCTCAGCCCAGACGCCCTCCCGTGGCCCCTCGGTGGGGAAACTGAGGCTTTGGGGCAGTGTCCAGGAGGGGACCAGGGGACGTGTCGCAGAGACGGACCTGCGACGGGCCTCATGGAGCAGCACCGGGGCCAAGGGCGGGTAGCCGTGAGATCCCCAAGCGAGAAAGCGTGCGTTTCCCGCGTCAGGGACCGGGAGGGAGGGAGGGACCTGTCACTTGTGCAGGGCACTGACACCCCAAGTGTGACAGAGCAATGCTACACAGTAGGACAGGCCCTTCCTTGCCCTTGCCTGGCCTCCAGGTTCTTTTCCACAAAATGCTTCGTTCCAGAAATGTAACAGTTCGTGCTCCTGGGGAGCCCCGCCCAGTGTAGCGCAATGTCTTGTAACTGCCTGACCTTCTCGACTCAGGAATGATGTTCTGTTAGCTCCGCCCCTCTGCCTCTGTGAGCATGCTCACCCACTACACCCTTCAGGAATGTTCTGTAACTCCCCCCCCCCCGCTTTAGTGAGCATGCTCGCCTACTCCTAGATCCCTATATAAGGAGGCGTCCTTCCTAGTCAAGCGCTCAGACTTCTCAGTAAGGGTTCTCTCCACCTTCTCCAGTGAACGTCAGATTCTCGCGTCTTCAAATTGCAGTAGCTGTGATGCTGAGTTGTAACACTCAGCTGTTCCTCAGAGCTGTGACACTGAGCTGTAACACGTGGCTATAGCACCGAGGTGTTGTGCTTTGCCACAAGTGCATGTGTGTGTGCACGGTGTGTGTACAGTGTGATCGCGAGTGTGGAGGTCTGAGTGTGAGGATGTGTGTGTGGCAGCGTTGCACGTGTGAGGGTGTGTGTGAACGTGTGAGCGGGGGTGTGCACGTGTGGGTGTGGGCGTGCTCTCCGCGTGACCCTTTTCCCGCCTGTGTCCCGCCCTCCTGCCGCCTCCTGCGCCCTCTGCTGTCCTGAGAGCGATGTCACCCACGGCCGTGCAGCCTGCTCCGCTCTGGAGACACCTCGGGTCTCCACCCCTCCCCTTCCCAGCGCCCCACGCCTTCCTGCAGGGACACAGCGCGGGTCCTGCCTTCGGTTTTTGTTGTTTTGTTTTAGTTTGGGGCGGGTTTTATAGCTCACAGTGATCCTCCTGCCTCGGCCTCCCAGGTGCTTGCTCCCAGCGGAGCGTAAAGATCACACGGTTTCTCTTAGAAGAGAAAACTAAAGGCAGTAGGAAGGGCGACAGGTCTTCCTCAGGCTGGAAGGGGACGGGGCACGAAGGGGAAGGCGGGACGGGACGCAGAGGGGACTGAGCACCGGGACGCCCCGCACCAGCGCCGCGCGGGGACAGTCACTCTGCACCATAGACGCGCGCTGATGACACAGTAAAAATAAAGGTTCCATCACCTCCCGCAGAAAGAGCAGGAAGAGATACAGAGGGGACTCCGAGTGGGCTCTTCCTCCTGGCGCTGGGGACCCCAAAGTCCTACCTCCCCCCCCCCCGTCCCCCTCGGATGCTGGGCCTCCCACGCCGCACTTCCCCTCACACTCACCAGAGGGCGCTCCCGAGCCGCGCCCGTCTGCGGGGACCGCGAACCCCGAGGGGACTGAATGTTTCCCAGCAGCTTCCGGGCCGGGCGCGGTGGTGCAGGCGGGTGACCCCAGCACTCGGGAGGCCGAGGCAGGAAGATGGCTATGAATTCAAGGCCAGCCTGAACTACAGGGCGAGACCTTGTCCAAAAAACAAAAATAAAGCTTCTCTACCTACGCGTTCCGGGTGCACTGCGTGGTTTCAGATCCACGCATGGGCCTCTCGGACCCGGAACTGTCCCCGGGAGTGGTGGGCAGTCACGGAGCTCAAGGGGAAGCCGGATGCGCGTGCTAATCCACAGCAACGCTGGAGTCTGCGCAGCGGATCGTTCTCTTCCCGGACGCCACCATCTCCGAAACCCAATTAGAATCAGGAGACCGGTCATGCACGTAATGTGAAAAGAGGAATTTGAAGCGAACCAGGTGTTCGTGGGGGCGCAGCCTCTCCTGGCAGGTAAACCAAATAGTCGGACCTTGCAGTGAGCAGGAAGGGGAGAAAGGACCCAATAAAATAGAAAGGCGTCTTTTATTTTCTTTATTTGGTTTGGGGTTTTTGAGACAGGGACTCATTATGCAATACAAACTGGCCTTGAACTCACTGTGTAGCCCAGGCTGGCTTCCAGTTTACAGTAACCCTCCTGCCTCAGCCTCCTGAGTGCTGGAATTATAGGAGTGCGCCACCCTGCCCAGCAAGGTCACAACAAAATCATTTGTTTTCTCTTTACTTCTGGGATCCCTCCCACATGATCTCCATTGGTAGTTTTGCTATTCCAAAACTCGTGAGTCACACAGAGGGCTAATTCTGTTCGCCCAGTGCAGAAGTCTCTAGTTTAGCTCCACAGCGCCGGTGCAGTGTGGCCCATGATTTAGGAACTGTGACCCAGCCTAGTGGAGCCTCGTCCTGGCTCCCTGGGATCGGTAGCCCTGATGCTCACGTCCAGATCTGAGTTCAGATTCTACATCAGCAAATTTCATTTTGGAGTAAGAAAGAAAAATCAGTATATTTTGAAAAATGAACTTTCAAAAATGTTAGCTGGTTTGTTTCCAAATGGCTGTTGGGAAGCGATGGCATTGAGGATGCCCCTCGTGGTCACTTCGCCGCAGGAGACAGGCCCAGTGCGGGGCACTCAGCCAGCGTGTGTTTCCTTGCAGAGCCTGAGCCTGGCAGAGGCGAGAGGGAGAATCCTGCACTACCAGGTGGCCCTGCAGGAGGTGTCAGGGAGGGCAGCCATGCTGTGGAACGTCACACGAGGCACCTCCTGGACCGGGGTCCTCCCCAGCACCGGGACTTGGACCACAGCTGTGTCTGCCACCAACTCCAAAGGAAGCTCCCGGCCGGCTCAAGTGACCATAGGGAACCCGTGTGGCACAGGTGAGCCACCTGCTCTTCTGTCACCGCGACTTCCGCTGGCTCTGCCCAGGCCTGGTGTGAGGATCAGGTGGATGCCGGTTCTTCCAGGCCGCTGTGCCTCTCGGGCCCCCTCTCTAAAACAGGAATCCTGTCAGCTGTCCTCAGGTCATGGTGATGCCACATGCCTGCCAGGGAAATGTGAGTCAAGGGAGAATCGGAGCCATTACTCTGAACACTGTCATTGTTCATTAGACTTTTACAAAAGCAAGAATAATCCACGTGGTTAAGCATGATGAAAAATACTTTCGACTGACATTCCACACATTTTGAAGCCAACATCAAAATAAGATTCTGACTATAGTGAAAATGTGGTCAAATCTGCTCTAGCAGTTCTTTATTGCACAAATTTAAATATGTATTCGACTGTCTTTACTGACAAACTCCCAGCCCAGTGTAGAGTCTCACATTTATTGTCACAGCCTGAGAATTCCATCCTAGTTACTTTCTCGTCACTGGGACAAAGTACTCAACGTGGAAACTTAGAAGGAAGTTTATTCTGGCTCATGGTTTTTAGAGGATTCAGTCCATGGTATGCTGCCCCTAAGGCAGGAAGGGCATAGCATGGAAGGCGCTGGCGGAGGAGAGCTGCTCAAGGCATGGCACACAGGAAGCAGGAGAGAGGAGGAGCCGGGAGGGAGATGAACTCTTCCAGGCCAAGTCCTGGTGATGCCCCTTCCCACCTGGCCCCACCCCGGAACAGCACAATCGGCTGCTGAAATCACAGAGGAATCCACTGGTGGGTGTAGCACCCCATGGCCCAGTCCCCTTCCAAAAGCCTACCTCTGAGAGCTGAGTGTTTGGGCAACATTTCCAATCTAAACCATAACAAGTCAAGAAAGTGGGAATTAATGCAAAAGGGCTCCGTGGAAACACGATTGGCCTAAATTCAAAAATCCCTGAAAAGAATAACCCTTTACAGTTAGACCCTTCCTTAAAATTCAATAATAATTTTATATACTTGTTGGTTTAGCCATCATTTTGAGGACACTTCTACCCAAACACTGTTATTTTGTATACACTGTCAAGTCCTGGTGCCAGACCCTTTCAGTCATGATCTGAGGACATAGTGAGGACAGAGGCAGTGGCAGTGGCCAGAGAGGACACGAGCGGATGTCGCCATGCTGTGTGCTGGCCCGTGAGCTGGGACCTGCTCTTGGGTTCACTGCCCTCCTGAAGGCCTGCGGACTGCAGCAACAACTCGATGCAGGGGCACTTGTCTAATGTGCAAAGGCCCTGGGTTCGATCCACGGTACCACACACATGCATAGGAAGCTTTCTTTCTTTTTTTTTTTTTTTGGTACTGGGGATCAAACTCAAGTCCTTGTGTTTGCGCAGCAGGTGACGAAACCACTGAGCTAAATCCCCAGCCTGGAATCTTTCTTAAATAAGACAGGATTCTGCAAAAATAAAAAAGAGCAAAATATATAAATACAGTCACACTATAAAGAAGCTCATGAGGGCCGGGGATTTAGCTCAGTGGTTTCACCGCCTGCTGCGCAAGCTCAAGGACCCGAGTTCGATCCCAGGTACAAAAAAAAAAAAAGAAGCTCATGAGTAATGAGCTCAGCTTCATAGGAAATCTGAACAATAAAAATAAAACCACAATTAAATACCATTGTACACATTGGTTAGAACAACAAAAAAAAGGTACTTAGAAAATAACAAAAGCCTAATGTGGCAGCACACGTCTGTAATCTGGGCATTCAGGAGGCTGAGGCAGGACGATCACTGTGATTTCGAGGCCAACCTGGGCTACATAGTGAGTTCAAGGCCACCCTGAATTGCAGAGTGAGACTGCATCAAAAGAACAAAACAAAAACAAAACGAGTGTTGGTGGAGGAATGAGAACCCGTTATTCTTGTGGAGGTGTCGTCTGGTCGTTTATGTGTGCATTCGGTATGTAGGTGTGCATGCGTTCATGTATGCACGCATGTAGGTGTCTCTTTTTGAGGGCTGAGGATTGCGCCCAGGGCGACACAAGCGCTGGCCACGCGGCTCTGTTCGAGATGTCCCGCAGTATCGCGTGAATTCACACGTGATTGTACTCTGAGCATGCGCAGCAGAGACGCCCTGCACAGGCGCCCAGGAGCCGAGCTGGGAGGTGGCTCCTGCTGGTCCCTAGGAGAGGAGACGAGGACGGGTTGGCGGAGGCCGCAGTCTGAAGGAAGGGGCAGAGCTGCGTGTGGCGGCGGGTGGAGACGGCCAGAAACATGCTGAGTGCAGAAAGGTTCGAAGCGGCACCGGATTCATCTGTCCGGGTGCTTCGGGACCACACACCCACGCGTGTGCAGGCCGCGGACGACGGTGCGGGTGCGCGTCACAGCGGCAGCGGGGCACGCGGTCCCAGCGCTCCAGGCGGACTCGAGTGCGGCCCGGAAGCCCGCTGGGTCCCCGGGCGTCCTCGGCCACGCTGACCCCGTCCCCTCTGTCCCCGTGCAGGGTCGCTGGCTCCCCGCGAGGTCTCCGCGAGCTCCCGGGGCGAGGACAGCGTCTCGGTGACCTGGCAGCCTCCCGGGCGCGGGGGGCCCGCCGTGCAGCAGTACCTGGTGGAGTGGACGGCGCTGCCCGGGCGCGGGCGCGGCTCGCAGGCCCCGCTGAGCTGGCTGCGGATCCCCGCCTCCAACAGGTCTGCCGTCATCTCAGGTACCGTGGTCACCTTGCTCCAGGGGGTCGCGAGGTCATGTTCGCTCAGGGCACTGCAGGCGGGGACCCAGAGCCCGCTTCAGTTACAAAGGAGACACGACAGCCTAGTACCACGATGGACAGTGATGTCCTAGAGTCCATGGGGACCGCACCACGCGGCTGAGGCTCTGTGGTAGAGCTGGCCGTGCACACGGGGTGAGCTCCTGTCCCTAGCACTGCAAAAAGAGAAAAAAGAAAAAAAGCCCAGTGTGGCAGCACACACGTGTAATCCCAGCACTTGGGAGGCTGAGGCAGGAGGATCACAGAGAGTTTGAGGCCAGGCTGGATGGACTACATAGTGAGACCCTGTCTAAACAAAATAAAATAAAATAAATAAATTAAAAATAAACAAAAAGGCATGGCAGAGCAGAAAACACCACCTCAGCCACAGGACAATCCTCCTGCCTCAGCCTCCTGAGGGCTGGGGTTACACATGTACACCACCACACCAAGCTAAATTACTTCACTCTTGTGCCTCAGCTTCCTCATCCAAAACATGAGGACAGTGTTACCTATTCATTGTGATACTTTGAGGACCCAATAATATGCTGAAAACGTCTTAGTGCCTGCTTGATGGTTTAGCGAGTGTATGATTACTGTGAAACACGTGGGGTTTTCAAGCTCAGCTCCCAGCAGTGTCCTGACAGTCCACATCGGGAGGGTGCCCCACAAGGAAGGAGGCCCTACCTGCACAGAGCTCAAGGCACGGGGTCGCTGTCAGGATCCCAGGCCCTCGCAGGTGCCATCTTCACGGTGCCCTTTCAGCTCGCGCTGCCTGGTGGCCCAGCTTGAACCCAGAGCTGGGTTCACGGTCCAGAACTGCACCTCCCAGAGAAACCATTAGCCAGTAGCAGAGAATTCCAGACGGGGCAGGCTGGGAGGCTTGGTTTGGGGTGGCTGTCGTCTGTTCCGATACGAATAGTAACAGGGCGCCTCTGGTCCCAGCTACTGAGGAGACTGAGGCAGGAGCATTGCTTGAGCCCAGGACTTGAAGACCAGCCTGGGCAGCATAGGGAGTCCTTCTCTCCAAAAAAGGCAAAGAAAACCAAACAAACCACAACAACAACATAATGAAATGTGTTTCCTTGTTGATGTGGAGAGCGGGACAAAGGCTGAATGCAAATGACAAGAAGGCGGGTGTAAATTTAGAGAAGCAACTTGGATTGCTTCTGACAGGCCGGCTGATGGCTTCTCGGAAGGCTCCCAGAGCTGCTGCCCTGGAAACAGTTTTCCTCCTGCGGTGGCGCCCGTCAACCAGAGGGGCAGTGGACAGAAACTGCGGCTTCCGAACCGTGAAGGGGTAATCCGTGCCCTGGGGGTCGTTAGAACTGCGTTCCCTCGGGTTCTTCCTTTGGAAGTTCTAGAATTCTCTGGGAACACCTGAAATAGACGACAAGGGAGGACTTTTCCACACTCAGTGAGATAAAGTATCCTAATGGAATTTAGAATGATGCATTTGAGTAAAATTAATATCGTAGCTAGCAAAATTAACTTGCTGGCAGTTTTCCTGCTTGGAAACACTTGGCCAGCTCTCAGTTTAGGTGGCTGCCTCATTCTGGAAATAAACACTTGAACGATGAAGTGCAGCCCTGCTCGCCTTGCACTGGGGATGTGATCAGAGGTTCTGGGCAAGCGCTCGCAGGCGGGGCTTTGGTTAAGGGCGCTGTGCTGTTGGGGGCGGGGCCCTGCGGGGGGGGGGGGGGCGTCGCCGGGGCGCGGCCTGGGAGGGTCGAAGCCTGCAGCTTCGTCCCTGGCCTGCCCTGTGCCACGCCCGTGTGCCTCGGATGGAGGCAGCTGGCCGTGGGCTAAACGGCGAGCCCAACAAACTCATTTAGGTTGTGGGTGTCGGGACGTCTCCTGCACACAGGGTGGGCGCCCACATTCACAGAAGAGACCTCGCCTATGGTGGCGTCCAGGCCGGCAGCTGCCCGGCTCGCGTTGTGCGCAGCCACATGCCCTCACCCGGGGCGCGCAGACCTCCGAGGCTGCTCCTGGGACCGGCCGGGCGGGGCACCGGGCGCAGAAAGCCAGGCGGAAATTGGCCTCCGTGCCCTGTGTGCCCTGCCGAATTCTTGGGCTGGGTTCTGCCAGCAGAGCTGCTTTGGAGCCCAGGACTAAGCAGACAGGGTCTTTCTCCGTTTCATCTTCCTTGGGGACGTGGCCTGGAACTCGTGGCGTGTCTTCCTCTGCTGCTAGACCGCTGCCAGACAGGGCTTTATATGTTGCCTACTTGCTGAAGTATTTAAAGGGTGACAGATTTTCATATAAAACACAAATTACTCTGTGATGGAAATTCCTGGGCAGGCGATGTGGATCCGTGGTTGAGTGCTGAATTAGCATGCGTGAAGCCCTGGAAAAAAAATCCCTCAACAGAAGCTTTGGAAGCCTGATCCTTGTCAGTTCAGGTCCCTGTTCCCGGTGACCTGTCGGCTTGGAGCACCGCTGCAGCGTCCTCACTTCCAACCTGACGCCGAGGGGCCTGCCGGGGTGTTGCTTTCTCTCCGGGAAAGTCTCCCTAGGAATTTAAAGCTATGTGGGAGGGCCTTTTCCTCACTGCTGCTGGAAATCAGGTCCACAGAAGCCAGGAGATCCGGCAGGGAAGAGGGACATCCCACAGCCGCTCGCCGGGCAGAGCATTAGTGTGGCACGCAGAGGCGGGGGAGGCGCAGTGAGGCCACTGGGGCGCAGCCCGGCAGGTTGGGGAGCAGAGGGCAGGACAAGGGCTGGGACGGAACCTCGGGGCCTGGCTGGTCCCATCCCGGTCACGTCCCCTTCACGTCCCCGTCCCGGTGTCCTCGCGATGCCCGAGAGCGCCCGGTGGGAATCGGAGCAAGAAAGGCCGTTGGGGTCATTCATCTGCGAAAGCCCGGCCTCACTTTCTTGTAAACCGCAGATGATTTATCTGTGGAAGTTCAGGGTCTTCGCTTGCTGGCCTGTTTGTTCCCCGATCCAGGGCAGTCTGTGTGCCAAGTCTGTGTTGGGATTTGAATAGCTTTTTCCCTTTCTTTGGTTGTTGTTGGTCGGTTGGTTGTTTTTATGGCACTGGGAGTGAACCCCCGCCTTTGCAGTGAGCTCCGAGCTTATTTTGAGACAAGATCCCCCTGAGACACGGACTCACCCAGGCTGAGCTTGAACTTGCAGTCCTCCCGCCTCAGCCTCCCAGAGCGTTTGTCTCTGAATCAGATAGACCTGTTTGCATGGAAAGGGATGCGGGCAGATGGTCAGTTTAGCTCTCGCGCCCTTGGAAGCGGGGCGCTGGGCCTCCCGGAAGCTGGCAGCGTGGTGAGGAGGATCGCTGTTTGTAACGTAGCTCCTCCCTTCATTCTCTGCCAGTGGTGGCGACCCTATGGCACGCATGCCGCAGCCAGCTGTCTGCTCTCATCGAAAGCTCTGAAAGGTTCACCGTGGTGGTCACTGGGCTGGGGCATAATTGAGCCATCTCCAAAGGCAAGAATCCAGGTGTGGCAGCGCACACCTGTAGTCCCAGCACTCTGGGAGGCTGAGGCAGGAGAACGACAAGTTCAAGCCCAGCCTAGTCTTGTTAGCAAATAAGAAATGAAAAACGGGGCCAGGGATTTAGCTCAGTGGTTCCGCCGCCTGCCTTGCAAGCACAAGGTCCCGAGTTCCATCCCCTGTACCAAAAAAGAAAAGAAATGGAAAAAGGTCTGGGGATGGGTCCAGTCCCCAGTACCTTGGGATGAAAAGAAGGACGAGCAACAACTGGAACGAAGTAGTGAACGCGGCTTCCTGCCGCGACTCACAGGCGACACGCCCGAGCCGTGACAGGAACTGCTTGCCTTGCAGAGAGCATCGAGCCCTACGTGTGTTACGAGATCCGCGTGTTCGCGCTGTCGGGGGACCGAGGCGGGTGCAGCTCTGTACTGGGCGACTTAAAACACAGAGGTGAGCAGGCCCGCAGGCTTCCCCGAGCTGGCGCTCTGGGCAGACCCGGCCGGGGCTGACGGAGCCGCCCTGTCCTCCCAGCACCGGCCATCGGCCCCCACATCGAGGCCATCACCGAGGATGAGACAGGCGTGTTGGTCTCCTGGAGCCCCAGGCCGGCCGGGGAGCAGGTGGGCTGTGTCGTGCACCTCCGGATCTACTGGCGGGAACGGGGCTCCAGCACCCCGCCGAGGCTCCAGGGTACGTTGAGACTGTGTGTGTGTGCGTCTGTGCGTGCGTGCGTGTCTGTGCGTGCGGACTTCTCGTCCATATGCTGGGAAAGCACGTACTGGAAAAAGCCCACCTTCACGATGGCTGCGGTAGCACGTCACTCTCTCCTGGGGACGGACGAGGTGCCGTGGGCAGGCGCAGCCGGGTCCTGAGGACGCCCAGCACCTAGGAGCCGCAGTGGCCAGCTGAGGCCGGGCTGGTTCACAGCCTCCGCCCTTCCTTCCCTGGCTCCCGCGCGGGCCCTGGGCCGGCCTCTTTGCCGACCTGAGTTAATCAGGCAGCCCAGCTCCTGGCCTGACCGCTTTATTTCCCAAGCAGTTGGCTTTCTTTTAGGAGAATTTATCATGAAGGGACGGATCTGTTTCCTCTGGAAAATTACTAGCTCTGAGAGTCCTGGAGCCACTGGGTCCAGATGCCAGGGAGCCACCGGAGGAGCCCCTGGGCCCTGGAAGACAGCGGTTTGTCTTCTCCTGGCCTCAGGGGAGCGGACCACTCCTCCTCCGAAAGCTATGACTTCCAAAGCTAGTCAGCTGTTATTTTGCAACTACTACTTGCATCTGGCTAAAAAACATTGAAATAGGTCAGAAAGATACAATTCTTCTTTGCACTTAGGTTTTTAGCAGTTCTTTGTTTTTCTTCCAGAAAAGAAATTAATGCATATACAAGAATATATTTGGAATCTTTTCTGTATTCCAGTCTCCACCTTGCTTTTACCACTGGGTCCCACTGGAGAGCTTTTCCTGGTAACCCAAATGGCTCTGCCTCGCTCTTTGTAACGCCTCTGTAGTATTCCACTATAAAGCTTCCAGTCATTTGTTGACTACTCCAGCCCCTGATAAAGGACGCGTCACAGACAGAACTGCTCCCTGGCTGGCTCTACGGTGACTCAGTTCTGAAATGCATCCCACAGGTGACAAACCAGCTGACCTCTTCATGGGCCATTTGGAATTCTGTGTGTGAAATTTCCTCAATTTTCATTTGTTCAGAATTTAAACCAAGGAGCCTGTTTACAGCCACAAAGGCCACTAGGGTCGATCATTTGGTTTTCAAAACTGTTGTCGTAGATATTGAAGAAAGTATCTAAAAAACAATGAAAATTTTGGGCTGGGGATTTAGCTCAGTGGGTTCATCGCCTGCTGTGCAAGAGCAAGGACCCAAGTTCGATCCCCAGTACCCCCCAAAAAAGAAAATTTTACCTTATTTTATTATAAATCTAATGAATCTAAACCCTATATAAGGGTGTGGGTTTTTTGTTTGGTTTTTTGAGAGTCTCACTGTGGAGTGCAGGCTGGCCTTGAACTCACTATGTAGCCCAGGCTGGCCTCGAATTGACGGGCAACCCTCCTGCCTCAGCCTCCTGATTGCTGGGATGACAGGCATGCGCCACCACACCTGAGGAGTATATTTACATGAGGTAAGAGAGGAGTTCGGATTACATTTCCGCCCAACGTGGTTAAGCAGTGGACGGATGGAGCGTAGGCCCCCGTCCTGAGAGACAGAGGGGGACACTGCGTGAGCCCCCGCAGACGGCCGAGCACTTCGATGTGAGGCGGGTGAGTTCCGCAGTCCCTGAGGACGCAGGAGAGGGTCCCGAGACCGACCGAGGGCGGAGCCGCGGGGAGGAGGCGAGGCGAGGCCAGGGCGGCCAGGGCGGCCTGGGCCTCTGGGCCTGCCCCAGCCCGCGGGCTCCGGAAGTCGGGCCGTTGCCCAGCGCACCTCCTCCCCTGCATCACTCCCCTCCCAGAGGTCTTGGCCGCTGATTCTCCCTGCCAGAGGCGGAAGGAAGGCGGGAAGCCCCGGCGCTTTGCCCGCCATGGACTCCCTGCCTCAGGCCCCAAGCAGCTGCTGTGTGAGACAGACTTGTTGGAGCCAGGCGTGGGGCACACACCTGTCATCCCAGCACCCGGGAGGCTGAGGCAGGAGGGTCTCTGCGAATTCCAGGCCAGCCTGAACTACACGGCGAGACCCTGTCTCAAAAATTAAAATTTTAAGGGACTTGTTGACGAACAGATGGGGCCCTACTGCCCCACCCCTGCTCGGCCCTGAGACCTTGCGCTAGGAACTGATTCCTCCAGCGCAGCCACCCGCCGGTCCCCTCAACCTCCCTCCCGCCGACTTCGGAAGACCCGCGACTGTACACCCGGTGCCCTGAGCTGCCTGCGTCTCAAGTCCCCTCCGCCGGGCCGGGCCGGAGCTGCCCTCGTCTCTGCCCGAGTCCCGCCCACCTCCCCCCGCGCCCTCCCTCACATGGCTCCGCTGCCTCCACGCGCCCGGTGTGGGACGGCGCGTGCTGAGCCGTGTCCCAGCCACGCGCGCGCCTGTCGGCTGGGACGCGCACGGGACAGTGGGCGGGCTGAAGCGCGAGCTGAGATGAACGTCTCATCCCCGCGCGAGGACGAGGGGAAGGGAAAGGGAAAGGGAAAGGTTTCTATTTTCTTTTTAGCTCACAGAGCCCAAGTCTGCGAGGAATCTCGCCAGGCTGGCGTAACGGGGGACTTTCCCTGCCGCTTCCCTCCTAGAATGCAAACTGGTCTCGGCCGTGGGAGGCACAGCTGAGCGGGAAGGAGTGAGGGTCGCGGGGACCCTGCAGGCTGCACCCGACGAACAGGGTGGGGTCGTCCAGGCGCCCTCTCGCCCCTTAGAGTTTTTTGAGAGTAGGTTCAAGGTCAGCCAGGGCTAAGTAGTGAGTTCAGAGCCAGCTTGAACTACATAGCAACACCGTCCTCAAAAATCCAAATAAATAAGCCAGGCGTCGTGGTGCACGCCTGTGATCCCAGGACTCGAGAGGCTGAGACAGGAGGATCGCTGTGAGTTCAAGTCCAGCCTGGGCTCCACAGTGAGTTCAAGACTGGCCTGAACTACATAGTGAGTGAGACCTCTCAAAAAAAAAACTCCAAAAACTGAACAAGTAAACAGATGATTGGTAGATAAATCTGATGAATTAGAACTATTTTATTCTTCCTTTTTTGTTTGTTTGGTTTTTTGTTTGATACCGGAGATCGAACTCGGGACCTTGGGCTTGCAAGGCAGGCAGCAGAACCACTGAGCTAAGATCCCCAGCCCAGGACTATTTTAAATAGCAATATGCTTTTTCATTTTCAATTAAATGAATCATTAAAAACTTAAAATGAGTGTCAGGGATGTAGCTCAGCGGCACCGTGCCTGCCTGGCAAGCAGGAGGTGCTGACTTCGGTCCCCAGTACCCAAAAAAAAAAGACCTAACGTGAGCGAAAGCTCACCTTGGACCATCTCCTTTGAACCCACTTTTGTTCCTCTGGTGCAGAGGTCCCCTGCTGGCCCTCCAGGAGCTCCCACCCGCTCTCCGGCCTGTGGCACGGGGTGACCTACGTGCTGTGGATGACGGCGGTGACAGCAGCTGGCGAGGGGCCCCGGGGAAACGAAAGGGAATTCCGCCTGCAGAGTAAGCAAGGACGCGGCCCTGGGACGCTGCCCGCGCTCCTCGTCTCCTCCCTCGGCCACCGGCGCCCCACGGGTTTCTCTGCCCTGGTCCCGTGGACTCTGTCCCCTGCAGTGGTGCCAGCTCGTTTTCCTACACTGGCGGAAATGCTTCCTCATGCGGGGGCCTCGGGCTGCTCCTCCTCCCCCTCATCCACACAGGGCCTGTGCCCTCTCCCCTCCAGGAGGCGGGGACTGGTGCTCCGTACTTAGGCCTTGCTCACTAAGTGCCTGTTCAAACAACCAGGAGACTGCCACCAGCACTCGCAAGAGCAAGGATTGCGCGTAGGAGCTGGTAGGCAGGAACCTTCCTTCAAGAAGTGCTTTGGGTGGTATTTACCTTGCTGGGCTGCTGAGGGAATTCCCATACACCGGACGGCTTAACCAGCAGTTACTGTCTTGCAGACTACTCCACGCATATATATATATATATACATATATGCTTTCATATATATACTTTTTAAAAAGTATATATATATATATATATATTTTTTTTTTTTTTTTTTTGGAGAGAGTGTCTTGCTATGTAGTTCAGGCTGGCCTTGAATTCATGGCGATCCTCCTGCCTCAGCCTCCTGAATGCTAGGAATATAGCCATGCACCACTGTGCCTGGCACCAACTCTGAACTCCAGAGTGATACCTCTTTCCTGAGCCCTGTGAGGTGTCTCCCATGCTGATCTCTGCTACCCGCCCACACGATTACCGTGCTACTGTTACACACATCGGTGGCACGGTGGACTCTTGCCTACACGGGCGCACACCCGGCTCTTGTGCTGTGTTCGTGGCTCCTTAGATGAAGGCATCCGTGGCCTACTCGTCTGTGCCCAGCTCCTGGTAGGCCTGGTACCGGCTGGCCTGCAGGACATGTTTGCTGAGTGAGTGGAGAAGCCCACTGTTCATCCAGGATTCAGCCCCTGCCCAGGAGGAGGAGGCGCAGTTTCCAAGCCCTAAAGAGGCCCTGCCCGTGCCTTGGCCACCTTAGAAACCCTGCTAGGTCTCGATGTCCCCCGGCCTGTGTGCTCCCGAGTAGGGCTGCGGAAGGGGCTGGACTGTGGGGCTCAGGGGCCCCACTGAGGCTGCAGCCCCGCTGCCATTGCAGGAGGAGCCAGCTGGAGCGCGGTCCTGGCTGTGAGTGCCTGTGTGGCTGTCCTCACCCTGGGCGTCCTCTTCACCGGCTGCTTCCAGCAAAAGTGAGTTGGCCTTAAATATTCACAGGTGCTGGTGCTGCCACCGGGTCAGTGGGGGACACTGGACTTGCACTGTTCAGACTTCCTGGCCACAGTGTGTGTCAGAGTTCTGAATGTGTGCATGTGACTAGGAACTCCTAGTACGAATTTATTCTAAATGTATCGGGGATGCATGCATCTCGCCAGTGGAGAACACTTACGGAGATACTGCTCACTAGGAAAATACTCGGAGCCAGGCGTGGTGTGCGCCTGTGATCCCAGGGCTCGGGGGGCTGAGGCAGGGAGAGACCTGGCTCCAGTGCCACTCTGTGCCCAGCAGGCGGCGCTACGGGCTCCGTGTCCACAGTGCTGGGCTGACTGGGTGGCTGGGCCCGGAGTCAGGGAGCCTCAGGCTCCCCTCACGCCCGACCCAAGTCCCGCTCTCTCCGCAGGGCGCTGCTGCTGCTCTCGGCGCTCAGGCCACAGTGGTGCCGCCCGGGGATCCCAGACCCGGCCAACAGCACCTGGGCCCGGAGGCTCGTGCTGGAGGAGGTGAGACAGGGCGCGGGTGACAGGCCCTGGACAGAGGACGCCTGGCTGCGGACCGCAGCTCGGAGGCCTCGCTCCTGAGTGTCTTTAGCTGAGCTGTCCCGGCTGCTTCCATGTCCTAAACCGACTCAAAACCTTTCCCTTTCCTGGTCATTTTGACTTGGAAAGAGCTGGAAGTCTCACGGTGCCAGATCTGGTGACTAAGGAGGGCCAGGGCACAGCGTTGTTTTCTGACCTGCCTTTCTGCTGGGTGGCACGCGGTGGCAGCAGTCACTACTTTTATCACATCTGGTGAAGACACTCAGGAGAGAGTACCCCAGAACTGCTGCGGTGGCCGGGACCGGGCCGAGTGTGGTACAGCGAGGGGAGGGCCGAGGGGTTGAATGGCAGTGTGGCTTTTACTGCTGCGCACTTCTTAAAATCAAGCCCTCACCATATTTTTGATCATCCGTGGTGAGTCCTAAGAAGGCCAGTGAGTTTGCCACTGGCCGAGCAGCAGCCCTGCCTTGACCCATCCAGATCCAAGGTGACCAAAGTGGGGCTCTCGGCCTAGGCCGAGACAGACTGGAAGCAGTGCAGTCTGGGCTTTGGCAGGAGGCTGGGGGCGGCTGCCCTGCCAGACAAGAGGGTCTCATGGTGGGGCTGCTTGGCTGCAGAGGACAGGTGGAGGGACAGCAGGAGGGACAGCAGGTCATGGTGGCCAGCTTCGGCCAGGAGTGGGGCATTGATGGCACCCGGGTCACGGCATGTGGCGGGGTGGTGAATAGAGCCCATAGGAACGAACCTAGGTGTGGTGGCGCATGCCTGAAATTTTAGCACTCAGGAGGCTGAGGCAGGAGGATTGCCTGAGTTCAAGGCCAGCCTGGGCTACATAGTGAGACCCTGTCTCAAAAAAAAAAAGGAAGGAGATGGTACAACACCACACCGCTTCCCAGGTGCCCGGTGTGTTCCAAGCCTGCACTGGACACACAGGAAACCCAGGTGCTGGCTGGTTCTGGGGAGAAAGGTAGGAACGAAGGCCATCTAACCATCATGGCCTAGTCCTTTGGAACTTCAGACATTTTTAAGGAAATTATATACACTGATTTTATATCTTGCAAAAATTAACAGTGAAGCCAGGGATGTAGTTCAGTGGTGCCACGCCTGCCTGGAAAACACAAGTCCGATCCCAGGTACAGGAAAAAAAAAATTAACAGTAAGCCAGGCATGGTGATACACACCTGTATTCCCACCACTCAGGAGGCTGAGGCAGAATCACAGGTTCAAGCCCAGCCTGGGCAACTTAGCGAGATCCTTTCTCAAAAAAGGGACTAGGGATGTAGCTTAGTGTCAAGGTCCTGAGTTCAATCCCCAGTACCACACACACACACACACACACACCCCTTTCTACTTTTGATATACTCTTTGACCTTTTTCAGAGCACTGTAGTTTTCCTCGGCTAGGTTAATTCCTAAGTATTTCATTTTTCATGTTGCTATTGTTTCCCTAATTTCTCTCCCGGTGAGTTTATTTTTGGTGTTCAGGAATGCTATTGATTATTGTGTTAACTCTGTATCCTGCAGTGCTACTGAATTTGACTATTAATTCTAAGAGTCTTTTGGTGGAGTTCTGGGCACTTCTATATACAGTATTGTCTTAGTTTTTTCTCATTGCTGAGACAAAATACCCCACACCCAGAGTTAAGGGAGGAAAGGTTTATTTAGCTCACCGTGTGTAGAGGTTCCAGGCCATAGTCAGCTGGCTCCAAAGCGGGGTGGCAGGGCCGAGGAGAAACAGCCCATGGTGGGCAGAAGGCAGCAAAGCAACAAGGGGAGACCTCAGCTCTTTCCGTCCCTTCTGTCTTATCCAGGCTGCTTAGGGCGGGCAGCACTCACACCCGTAATCCCGGTGCCCTTGAGCCTAGCATCGCACCATGAGTCAGTCCCAGGGTCACACACTCTGGATCCAGCACCTCTGAAAAGCCCACCGTGACCACAGGAGGCTTTGGGCGACACCCAGACACAGCCAGAACAAGTGTCGTGTCATCTGCAGATAATGACAGTTCGACCTCTTCGTGTCCTGTTCCTGCCCGTTTGCTTTCTGTCTCTTGCTGGTCACTCTGGCTGATGCTTCCAGTCTGGGAAGACAGGGAGAGCGAACAGCCTGTCTCGCTCCTGATCCCGGAGGGGCCGCAGTTGATCCCCATGTGATACGAGGCTGGCCGTTGGTTTGTCACAGGCTTTTATCAGACTGAGATAGGTCCTTCCCCACCAATTTCTGCAGGGTTTTAAATCAGGAGTGGGTGTTGGAGCTTGTCAGTGGCCTTCTCCGCGTCTGTGGAGAGGACCGTGGTGTCTGACCCCTCTTGTTTGTGTGACCTTTGCCTCACCTGCGCAGACCCCTCCTGCACCCCTGTGAAGCCTGGCGGTCTCGGTCGCGGTCCTGGTGCGTGATCTTCTGACAGCCCTGTGAGAGATGTTAATCCTGTGCCCGGCTGGGGCTTGGGAATCTTGAATCGGCAGTAACTTTGGAAAGAAAAGGGATGGCACTGAGGAGCTGGCAATAGGCAGGACAATGAGTTAAATTTTGTCAGTTAGGAGGAATAAGGGGAAAGGACACAAATTTCTTCCCAAACGTTTTTTCCTTGAGTTATGAGCCACGATCTCAGCGTGTGGCCCCAGCCGGCCTCCAGCTCCCGGTCAATCTCCCGCCTCAGCCTCCCTGGCACTGGGGATGACAGGTGTGTGTCCTTCCCAATCCAGACCTGAGAAGCACAGCACGGGGTCGCAGCCAAGCCTCCCAGCAGACTGAACCCCTGCCTCAGCCCCAGCCCCAGGCCCTCCTGCACCTGGGCCGGAAACATGTCTGTCGCCCCACAGATGGCACCACCCCTCCCCGCAGCAGCAGGGGCGGGCTGGGCTGTGAGCCAGGCTAAGCTGAAGCCACCAGGGATGCAGCTCAGAAACCAACCGCCTGCTGACCTGGCCTGCGGGGCCACCGGGCGCTCACCGCTGCCCCGACCAGTATTGTTTGCTTTGCGGTACCAAGTGCTGAAGCCAGGGCCGTCACCCCAGCCACCTCCCCAGCTCTTCTTTTATTTTGTGTTTTGAGACAAGATCTCACTAGGTTGTGAAATTTTGCAGGCTGGGCTTGAACTTGGGGTCCTTCTGCCTCGGCCCCCAGCTGCTGGGATGGCAGACGTGCTGGCTTCTGTGCCTGATGCTGGTGGCACCTCTTCCCCAGCCAAGTCCTGGGCTGTTGCCAGGGTCCCTGCACCTCCAGCCTTCAGCCACGGCCCCTTCCTCCCTTCCCAGGAGAGGACCCCGCTGCCGGTGGACGGGACGCAGACGGAGCCGGAGCCCTTGATCATCAGTGAGGTCCTGCCTGGCGCGACTGCAGTCTTCAGAGCTGCCCAGTGCCCCCGCTGGCCTGAGGAGGGGCAGGGAGACCGGGCCCGCCTCGACTGCACAGAGGGGCCGGTGGGCATGGGCTGCAGCCCGCCCCCTGTGGGGCCCCTGTACAGGGCGCTGGCGGTGACTCTCCCGGGCCCTGACGGCTACCTCCCCGCCAGCCCTGGGGTCCTGGCCACCCCAGAGTCCCCGCTCCCTGAGCCCGAGCAGGAGCCGGGGCCACCACCTGTCACCCTCTCCATCTTCACGGCCCGCTCCCTCCAGCCTGTGGGTGGTGCCTGCGGCCCGAGGCTGACCCTGGACCGGCTCAGGCTGGGCTGTGACTCCCTGGCGCTCTAGCCCCAAGCTTGCAGGTCCCGGGCGGGCGTGGCCTGAGGACCTCGGCTCAGCCCATGACCTCACCTCCGGCCCGGCTCGGCGGCTTCAGCTTTGGTACCAGCAAGGGGCAAGGGACCCGAGTGGAGAGCAGTCCTCACGGTGGCAGCGTCCTGCGGCGGGCGACTGACTGCTGGCCCCACACTCGCTGCAGCCCTCCTGCCTCGGCCTCCCGAGTGTCCATGTGCGGGGTTGGGATTGAGCCGCTTTGCCCGTCAGCCTCCGCCCGACAAGCCCAGATCTAAGACGGGAAAGCCGCCTGGAGTGGCTGTCCCTCCTCGCCCGGACACAGGCCACCCCACCCGAGCCTGGCTGACTAGGAAAGTGACTCTGTGAGCAGCAAGGAACGAAGACTGCATTCACGCGGTTTCGGGCCAGCTGTGGATCCCAGGCCGGCACGGTCACACTGCAAGCATCCTGCGGCCCTGCACACCTCTGCAACCTGCCTGCCTGTCGCACGCTGCCGCGCTCCCCTCAGCCAGCCGGCCTTCCCAGGCACAAGTCAGACGTCCCTGACAGCCCAAGGGAACGCTGTTGGGGTCCCACTGCCCTACCACGACCCAGGCCCGGCTGAGCCCGGACACAGCACCGGCTCTGCGGCCTGACTGTCCGCCCCAGGCAGGGGCCACGGCCTGCTCCCAGTGCTGCCGCTGCCCGCCCGGTCAGCACTGCCCACCCTCCGCCCCGTGGCTGCTCTGAGGCTGCAGGCCGGTTTCTGTAAAAGCGCACCTCCACTTCTGACCGGCCTGCAGAGACGTGTCACCCCTCCCGCCGCAGCGCCACCTGCAAGTCAGCTCCCGCGTTCTCCCCGAGACTGCCGTTACTCAGGTCACGGTCTTCATCAGCAGGCGCAGACACCCCACCGGCAGTTTCCTCTGAGAGCTGCGTTCTGAAGCGCAAGGCTTTCCCAGGTGGTGTTTTGTTTGGTTTTGTTTGAGACAGGGTCTCACTGTGAAGTCCAGGCGGGCCCTGAGGTCAGTGATCCTTCCGCCTCAGCCTCCCGAGTGCTGAGGTTACAGGCGTGCAGCACCGCACCCAGACTCCCAAATGTTCTTTTGCAGGCTGCACAGGACCAAAAGCACTTCTTTTGCTGTGGCTTCCAGCACTAGCATTTGACTCACACAAGCTGCCCAGGGTCCATGTAACTGTTAAGAAAATAACCTACCGGATGTTGTTGATCTACTGTAACCTAGCCTCAGGGTCCTGGGCACTGTGGTAACAAAACCCAGCGGCGTGGGGCATACACAGCACACCAGCTATGGACCCCCATGACTGCTCAGTGAGCACCTGCTTTAAAAACAGCTTCACGGAATCCCGGCTCCCACACCCTCTTCAGAAGCTCCTACTCTAGACATCTGTGTGGGTGAGACCCAGTCTCACTGTGTAGTTCTGCCTGGCCTCGAACCCACGGTGACCCTCCTGCCTCGGCCTCCCGGGTGCTGGGATTATGGTGTGGACTGTCCTGTGTGGCACGAAGCTCCTAGTTTGGACTTGAGCACGCACAGCCTCCCTGAACAGAGACGCGTACTGAACGATGCGGCACAGATGAGGCTGCAGTCCAGTGGTCACTGTGACAGCCAAGTTCCTTACCGCTCAGTTCCAGGAAAAAGGCACAGACCCAGCGCCCCCTAAACAAAACATTCATTTCACCTGTCCAAGGCCAGGAGGCGGGGCCACCCCCCCACCCGCTGTGTCTTATTTCCTCCCTTGACACACATGGAGGCTGAGGAGCGAGCGCCTCCCACATGGGCTCCCGCCACAAAGCAGCTGCAGGCGCGGCATCGGTTGCCAGGACGTTTGGCTCTAGGCAGTCAGGTCAAGGACCAAGCCAGCTTGGAGCAGACCCAGGCTACCCGTGTGGAAACCAGTGCCAGTTCTTCTCGTCCTAAACTCCAGAGGGGAACCAGCTAGGGCTCACCTAGGTGACAGGGTGACCGTGCAAGCCAGGGCTCCTGTCCCTCAGCCCTCCCTGTCTCCTCATGCACACACCAGACCCTAAGTGGCACTGTCCACACCCCTGGAGGTCACACGCGACCCACCCTGCCCAGGCGGCCGGCATGGAAAGCGCCCGGCCGCCTGAGACTGTCTGGTGCACTCCGCAGGCTGCAGAGGCCCTGGGAGTGGCCTGGGGAGGCCCAGCGCCAGCGCTGTCTCCCCGCTGCGGGCTCAGGACACCCCCCGCCCCGCCCACCCTCCCAGGTGGGCAGCAGGGGGCAGAGGGCCCCAAACCCGAGCGAGCTCCCCTGCCCGGGCCACTTCTCGCTTTCCCTGCCACTTGGAAGGAATTCCAGGTCCTTCCCAGTTGGCAGCAGCGAAAGCCACGTTCCGCCGAGTGAGGCGCTTGCTCTAGGAGGGGGCCCCAGGGCTGCCAGGCCCGGCGTCTCATCTCAACACCAAGCAGCAGCAGGGGTTAGGAATTGTGCTGAATGGGACTCCGCATCTTGTGCACCGATCAGTTCTGAAGCATTCAGAGTTCACAGAAGCTGCCGGCCACGCGTGTTACTGCAGAACAAAGCGTGCTTCCTAATCCGCCACCCGAGATGGTACCTTGTCCCTTTTCTGATTACAGAAATGAGTCTTAAATGACTTCACAGCGTCCTAGAGGCGGGGAGATTTAACTTGTACCTACAGTTAAACTGTGCTTAGGCAGACCGTGACTGGGAGTAGCATAGACAGGGCAGGGCACGCTGTCTCGCAGGGCCCTAGGTCTTGAGCAGTTGGCTTCCATCCCTTTGAAACTGTAAAGGCCATGCCTGCCTCAGGATGTACAAAAGCGGGCGAAAAGCCGGTCTGCTGACACCTGGCTCACACACCGATCTCTCCCCTTGCCCGGGCTGATGAGGACTTTGATTCTCTTGCCTCAGCCGCCCAAGCAGCTGGGTTACAGGTGTGCGCTGCCCTGCGGGGCTGAGACAGCACACCATAGCAGACACTTCCTGTTAGTATCCGCCCTGATCCCTGTATAGGCAGGCAGTAGCCACTTCCTGGGTGTCCTTGGACCTGCTGAATACCTCACCTCGTCCTGGTTTCCAGTGCGTCTCCTAACTCCAAATCTGAACAGAACGTGGAGTGAGCTGGGCTCAGAAAACTCACACCCTGGGCACCAGGCAGCCAGGCGCGGCTAAGCATTGACCACCCCAAGCCTGAACGCGGCCACTGAGCACTCTCTGCACCGAGGCCGGCCGGCAGGGCTGGGGCTAACGAAGCTGAGAGGCCAGGCATGTGGAGGGGAGGCCAGGGCTGAACAATCAGGCCCGGTTCACTCCCCAAGGAATGGGGCAGGCAGGTGGGGACACAGCTCACAGCACATTTCCTTGGTTACCAGAACTCCGCCTTAGGGACCACCTTACTGCCCGTGTCTATGGGCTTCAGTGACTTGGAAACCTGAGCCCTGGCCCAGCCGTGCTCCTTAGGAAGGGGGGGAGTCACGCAGCTGGCCAGACAGGCCCACAGGCCCCTGCGCCTCACCTTGAACACCCATGGGTGCCATGCTTGGTTCTCCCTAAACCCTAGGCAGGCTTCCTCCACCTGCTGTGTTCTTGTCAAGATGGGCTTTTAAAATTCAATACACAGTATTTAAACTCTAACTCTCCACAAGGCTTTTTAGTGCAATCACCTCTAGCAATCAGAAAAGTAACGATCAGAATGAATACTCATCTCCGAGTCTTTAGTAAGGTGTTTTCACATTTAACGTAAAACCAAGTGAAGAACGAGGATGTGTAGTAGGAATCGCTCCTAACTCAGTTGGGAACATCTCACTCGCAGCTCAAGTGGGACTTCACCAGGAGAAATGGCACTGTCAGCCCCTGGAGTCCAGTTTGGCTGAATTTACTGTCCAATTTTAGCTATCTTTAAGACAGGGCCACTCCCCAATGGGATTCAATAACCTAGCTTATCAAATAAAACCTCACAGAAGTCTCCAAACATTACAGTTTTTACAGGTAAGTGGGCATTTTCTTGGGATAGAGGTTAAAAACCAGGACACATGACGATCCATGGGCTGTTTGATTGCTTTTATGACTTTTTAAGAAGTGAACATGAAAATAAATCTTTATTTCCGTTATTACCCAGTGAGAAAGTTAGGTTCACAGTTTCAGCTCTTGACACAAAGTGAACTAGGAGGCAAATTCACACCCATCACATACAACTAATGGACTGGCTTTCGGGGGTGTGCGGTCTCAAAAGCCCGCGACAGAGCAGGGCTGCTGTGTTCCTGGTGACAGTGATGACAGCAGTTTGCCAGGCATCTAAAAGCAAGTGTTTTCTAGTGTGCTGCTGCTTACACTTGTGCTCCGGGCCGCGATCTGGGGAGGGGCAGTCAGGGGACTGGCCATGTGAACACTGTGCTGGCCCCAGGCCTCCCGGCAGGGACAGTAGCACCAGCGCAGGACGCGCTCGGCGGCGAGATCCAGACCCCAGCACAGTGCAGCATCACCCAGTGCCCTCTCCCAGCCCCAAGCAGTAGGGGCCCAGACACACCAGTCCCAGTCATGTGGCTCTGGCCACACGTGAACACCAGTCAGCTGAGTTGCACACGTGCTGAAGGTTAGGCTCACCGATACTTTTAAAACTGGAAATTACTAGAGGTAGAAAGTTTCTGACAATTGAATGACAGAAGTGTTAAAACTTTTTAAACAGAATTCCCTCCCTGTTTAATCAATGAATGTGGCAAAATGAAAAAACTCCTAGCAACCCTATGGGGTGACGGTTCTCGCCATGGATGTTTAGTAAATGGCGCCACTCCCACTGCAGGAGCCTGACACCACCTCTCTCCAGCCTCCCCTTCTGGGGAACACACACCTCTCAGCAGAAGGCCGATCAGTAACCAAACAGGAAATTCATGAACAGTAAAATTGTGGCTTGTATTTTATGGATGCTGCTATTTCAACCTTATGAAGTAAAGCTGTCTGCTTTCCACATGCCAAAAACCTAACGTACATCCGCCTCACCGCGCTAACCAGGGCCTTTGGTTTCTGCGGAACAAGGTTAAAGGTTGCGGGCTACAGATTTACCTTTTGACCTGACACGGACCATACCAAGGCTGACACTTACAGAGGTTTAAATATCCCGGAACATTAGCCAATCAGCTCCCCACCGCAGGGAACAGACTCACGGCCCGGATGCATCTGCCAGCCGCGAGCAGCCCAGACACCTCCCGCCAGGAAGGCGTCTGGCTGGCTTCTAAGGCGGGAAAGTCACAGTCGAAGGTGAACACGAGCTGAGCTCAGTCAGGTAACCTGACCCTAAGGAACCATGCGGCAGAGCGAGGGTTAATAAACCAATGTGCTTTGGATCTGTTCAAGTACTGATATTTCTGTATATAAAGATTTAGCATATATAACAGCTATCGTGAGAAGTGAAAAAAGACTTTTCCCCAAAAATGAAAGTATTAAAACTAAGTTAAAATACATAAAGTAGTTAGTATTCCACACAGCATAAAACCTGACAAATCAAAGTTTACATGTCCCAGTTGACTATGTGTGAAAATGCAAAGCAGGTTTTAAAACCAATAGTATGTCCAATATTTAAAACCAGTTTGTAATCGGAGGAACACCTAAATCCTTAATTAAAAAACACAAATGAAGTGAAAGCTTTTAAACTGGTACACACTGTTCACACCTATATTTCAAGTTTGGAAATGCATATATGCAAGCAGCAATACAAAAGTATTCATGAAGAATGCATAATCTCTGAAAATTATGAAAACATCCCTGCTACCAATACATTTCTAAATACAAAACTGACTACCATATTTGTTACTTCTGTGTAGCGAGAGAAGTTCATTTTCAAAACAGATAAAATTCAGTCTTTAGGTGTGAATGGTATGAATGACAGTCTTTTTTTTTCCTTTTGTAAATTTCTTAGTTGTTTGGGATCCTTAAGCATGCACAAAGCTTTGAACAAGAGGGTCCACCGAGGAACCAGGGCCATCGGGCGTCCAGTTAGGCCAGAGCCGGGAAGGCCTCCGGGTCATCCACATCTGGGGCAGAAGCGCTCGACTGGAAGAGAAGCAAAGCAGCGTGAGCCATGAGCACACCGCAGGTCACAGTGCTAAGATACAGCAAACCCTCTGCTCTGAGACCACGTCAGAAATCACAGCCTCGCCCCGCGCCGAGCGCCTCCTTCCAGTGCTGCCCTGTTCCCCCTGAGCACAGCAGGCTCCCTAGCGACGCCTCGGCTGGTCTTAGCTTCCCAATAACTGAGTCACCCAGGATTTTTACTTTGTTATTGCGTAGTCTTACACTTTTTCCCACTTTGAAATAAGAATGGCATCAATGTGAAAGCAAGCTAAGCCAACTGGCAAGTATTTAGTGTTAAGAGAAAGTTCAACTGCTATATATGCACTGAATACAAGTAACGAGGGAGACCGAAACGATGTCCGCATTTGTCAGGAAGAGACCAAACACGGGTGACAATAAAACCTGTGGTGTCACAGTCTCTACAACCGCTCACTGACAGACTGGATTAAGGGTGTTCAGAAGTCAGGGGGATATTATGCTTATTTACAAGATGGAGTGTTAAAAAAGTTATCTAATACTCTGGCATAGGACAGGCTTGAGTTCAAATTTATCAGTTCTTGTATCTATTAAAATATTTCACTAAGAACCAGGCAGCATGGCGCACACCTGTAATCCCAGCACTCAAGAGGCTGAGGCAGGAGGATTGCTGGGAGTCTGAAGTCAACCTGGGCTACACAATGAGTTCAAGGCCAGCCTGAACTACAAATAACACAAAACAAAAAACAAACCAATCCCCAACACACCAAAAACAATCAGTATTTGAGTAGGAACTTATTTTTTGTTATGCACTATGCCAGGCACTAGAGACAGAAACTGGGGCAGAATAAACCCAGCTCTCACAATAGTTTAGTAAGAAATAAGGCACGACAAAAAGGCCTCACAGTCATGCCACACAGTGACGCACGCAATGGACACAAAGGTTCTGTCAGGCTGAAACGTAACAAGCAGCGAGGGATCCCCAAGTGCAGTGAACAGCTGGCACTTCCAGCAAGCCTCACTTAGCCAAGGCCAAGATAAACCTCACTCCCCACTCAATTTCCTCATCTGCAAAGCAAGGGCATCACCATAGTAACAACTAAAACATAGCTTCTTGCGAGACAGCACTCAGAGCTACACTCCAGGCCTGCCCCTTCACTACTCTGAAACATCATCTCACTAAACTGCCCAAGAGAACCTGGACTTGGGATCCTCCTCACTCAGCCTCCCCGAGTGCTGGAACTAAGGCTCATGCCACTGTGATCGGCACAGAACATAGTTTCTTAAAGGCAGGTACATCTTTTTCTTCTTCTAGTTCATAAGTCTCCAAATCTGCTAAAAAGTCTTCGACTTATGTAAAGGGCAAAGAGGTTTTGAGTTACCTTGTCGGTCCTGCTGCCACGGTTTGGACGCCCTCCGCGCCCGCGTCCACCTCGTCCTCCCCTGCCGCCCCGCCCTGGGCGGCCAAGGTCTCCAAAGTTGATCTCCAGCTGGGACGTGATATCATTTGCGGGCTTCCGGAAGTGATGGTCCATCACGGAGTCTTCAGCGTGAGCCTGGAACGGCAAGGAGGCCGTCAGGGGAACAGCAGCAACCAGTCTCCTCCTCAACCCACCTCGCCGGCCTGCCGAGCAGCAGCCGGGTGCGCAGTGGGGCCTGAGAGCCCTGGCAGGCGGGGACAGTGCTTCCGCCCTAACACAGCTACCCCAAGGGAGAAGGCAGCACGAGCAGGCGCCTCGGGTCTTTATTCAAGCACAGGCTGAGCATGCCGATCTGAAGGACGAGTTTTTGAGTACTGACAGAATGCTTAAAGTCCTCAGACCTAAATTAGGATGTTCAACCATTTGAGTCTACACAAATACTCCAGGATCTGAAAATCTAAAATCTGAAACCCTTCAAGCCCAAGCCTCTCACACAGAGGATGATCTAGGCGAGTTGCTCTTCTGCATAAACGGGAGAGCTGCACGTCCAAGCTAAACACCGCAGACTTTCTGCTCTGTGAGGGGCCCTGAAAAGCCGTGGACACACACGGCGCACTTCAGCCGGGACGTCCTGCGCTGTGAAATCAGCCGCGGACCGTGGACCACAGAACCTCTGTATGGGTGAGCCCACCGCCGTCTGCTCTGAGGAAGGGGCTAGGGCGCCCAGCCTCCGGACTCCACTGTAACTCTGCTTACATTAAATAGCGAAGCATCTGCTCGCGCATGTACAGCCCGTTTCTGAAGGGTAAGGGATATTTTGTTGTAACCATGATTACCCGACAGAAGCACTCATCTGAAGCCCAAATTAAACAGTCCCCCTTGTACTATGCCAAATTCAAAAGCAAGAGAAGATTCAATTATTTTTTTAAAAACCTGAAATATACGTTAAGTATAAATCCACAAAACCTCTGGCAAATTAAGTATTGATTATTCTGTCATGTTTTTAAATCCTTGCTACTTCCAAGCAATGCCATTAATCCATTAATTAGCTCTTACTAAGGTTCTAGAGCACAGAAAGCAAGCCTAAGCTGCCACACCACCAAAGTACCCCCAGGGTTTCGCTACAATCTGGAAAAGCCCGGAAATTCAGGCCACATCCCTCACGTTTAAGGCGACTACACAACACAAGGCAGGGCTGGGGAATGTAGCTCAGTGGCACTGCGCCTGCCTCGCAAGCATAAGGTCTTGAGTTCAATTGCTGGGGGGTTGAGGGGGATGAGGACACCACACAAAGCTTTTCTAGTGCACCCAGGGGATGCTAACAAAGGACAGGAGGTCTGACCCAAGCTGTCACTAACACAGTAAGTAACCTGGCCCCCATTTCTAAAGCTGTTTCTTTCCTCGAAGTACTTCCAATCTGTGGCGAAGATCCCTCAAAATGTCATAAACACACCTGAAAGCCTAAATAAAAATGACTAAGACCAGCAAGGCCCGACTGCAACAAGCATCCCTATCTCAGAGCCACACCAACTGTGAGGCCCCAACACACGAGTGGCCTGATGATCAAAGTGCTTTAGTTTCCAAGTTATTCACATCCCATTCCACACAATTTGCAAAAAGGTCTAAGCATGCATCTCCCTTGTATGACACGGAAGTCCCTCCCCCATACCCAGTGGGATACATTCCAACACCCCATGCCTGACACCAGACAGCACCAGATCCTGTACGTGAACTACGCCTTTTCCTACCAACAGGCTATGGAGGGACTACAGGCCAGGTAGCATAAACAGCATGAGACACTGGACCCAGGGTGCACTGCACAGCCCGGAGGGACAGAGCAGGATGGCGTGAGATTCCATCACCTATTCTGAGTGGCCTGCAACTCGTTTTGGACACTATTTTTTGATTTATACTATGAATTGGACGAAACTACCATCTGATGTCTTTCAACTACTAAAACAGCAATAACCAAAAGTACAGAAAGCGAAAACACATTTAAGGGGATGCTATTTCTGAAAAGCTCAGTGCAAAATATTCAAAATTAGGATAATTTACTTAACCCTATGTATATCAAACACATAGAGAGAATTCCAGGTGTTACTATAATACCTATTATAACTACAATTTTATGGGAAAGTACAGTGGGAACTCAAAAGATTTACAGGTAACTGTCTTAAAGGACTTTATGTGAATCATTTTCATATTAACCTAGGCAGTCTGATAACTTCAAGTGGACAATCTTCCCAACATAAACTCTCCTGGCACTTGAATCAGGATTCCATACTTTTTTTTCATATGCACAATTTTATGTGCAAAAACTGAAGGGGAAAAAAAAGAAAACCAAGTATCTAATTAAACAAAAAATGTTTTTCTCCCACTTTTCACACTTAAGACAAACAGCCTCTTTACTATTTTTATGAGGTGAATGTTAAAAATCATTTTTTCTAAACTCGGAAAAACATTCAGGTCTCCTTAATCTCAGTTTTAGTTTTCCCAGTTTGTCCCACAGCCATTTTTGCTTGGTAAACTAAAACACATGGAGACCCTGGCCAGCCGAGGCCTCCACGCAGAGCTCAACAGCAGAGCACGTGCTCGGCGAGCCTGCGGCCCTGGGTTCAATCCCAGAACCAGAAATAATATCGTATCAGATCTCTTTATTGCAGGACGCCGTCCTCACATTTTCACCAGTCTCCATGTCTCCCAGGTAAAGGAAACCTGGAAGTTAATCGGCGGTACTGATTAACATCACCAGTATCTACTGAGTCTTCACCACCACTCCGTGGTGCAGTGTGCTGTGGGCAGCCAGAGCCTAAACAAAGCCACATTTAATTTAGGTTAAACCGTACAAAAACATCAGCATTTCAATCTAAAGCAACGGTCTTTTAATGGTTCCCAGTAAGGTTAAGATTTTTTTAAAAATATAACCACACCTTTAGGAATAACTACCATTGTTATTTTTTGTTACCTGGGATTGAACTCGGGTTCTTACACTTGCGCAGGAGGCAGCGAAACCACTGAGCTAAATCCCCGGCAATAACTACCACTTTTCTAAAAAATAATCACGTGATATATCATCAACTAATAACTTTTCAGGATAAAGAAACCTACCATATTGAACATAACTACAGATTAATCAAAGAATAAAATTTCATACACTGTATAGTAATAGCTTATTGCTCTTTTAAATTAAGTTACTTGTCTGAAATGACCCTACACGAAGCTTTTTTCTGGTGGTGGTGGTGGTGGTGCTGGTGGTGGTGCTGGTATTGGGGACCCAACCCAGGGCCTTCGTGAAGAGCAACATCCCAACTCCTTCTTCTGAGACCTTATCTTGCTAAGTCTTCCAGGCTAGATTCAAGCTTGCAATCCTCCTGCCTCAGCTTCCTAGAGTCCTGGAACTATAGGTGTGCTCTACTACACCTAAGCTTTATTTTTTCATGAAGCATATATCCACATGAAATTCAAAGAAAGAATTATAAGCAAGATTCAACTCATATCCAAACATTCCAAACATTTTCCAACACAACAAATCTTGTTTTTACCTCTTCGCTCTTTGATTTATGAAGAACAAATCCCTTCTTCCACTGCCCATCAGCACCTTCATTTGGTTTTCGGATATTAAATTCTACTTTTGCCCGGTCTTTATTTTGGATCGCCTTCCACTCATCCAAAGTCATCTCTTTTGGACCCTCTTCCTTAACCTCTTCAACTTCGTTCTCTCTGTGAAAAGACATTTAATATTAAACCTGGTAAATGGCTACTATAATTTACTTAAAAACATTTTATACTTATGATAAGTGAATTTTGGCTGGTTAAAACTCTTTTAAGAACCCAAGGGTGAGTATCAGGTTTCCTGTGTAGCCCAGAGGCCACCAGGAAACATAAGGACCCAGGGAGTCAGCGCTCCTAATCCAAGTTCAGACCAATGAAGAGCCCAAAGCCCATTAGACCATCACTTTGTATTATCAGTAATACAACCTTCAGTGGCCTTATACATTTGGAAACACATGGAAACCCTCTGCCATCTTCTCCCAAAACCCAGGTCTTTACTCCCCACAACACGCAGTCACCCTTATGGGAAGGCGAGGATGCCTGGAGAGCAGCAGGCTCCACTCTGCAGCAGGAAGAGCTGCTCCTCTGGCTTTTACTCCAAGTACTCACACTTAAGGCAAAGCAAAACAAAAGCTCAGTTTCTACAAATTCTATAATCCAACTTTCAAAACCCCCAGGAGGCTTCACTAGTAATCTAACTGCCTTATCAAACACACAAGCTTTACTACTTAATTCTAAGCTAATGTAAAATGTAACTGACAGGTTATTAACCATGTTAGTCACCTGTTCTTCTTTTAACAGAAACAAAGCACAGGCCCAGGGGCCAATATTTTAGTGTGAACTTCCAACTATCACCAAACAAGTCACTTGCTATTCTGGGAGCCCTGCTTGGTCGGTCCCAAAGATAGCAAATGATGTCGTTAGCCCCAGGGCTCACATATCCCCCTAGATCCAGGCCTTTACTGTATCCTAGAACTTCCTAGAGCAAGTTTACTGGGGATCTGGGGTGTGGCACCTACCTTTGCTGGCCCAAGTAACTTATCCACCATAATACACAAGGAAGGCCAGAGCTTAGCCAACCTCTGACCCTATCTAGAAGGAAGCACCAACCTTCACGGACCGCTGCAGGGTCAAATGAGGACAAAACAGCAGTTCTGGAAATCATGGGAGTGAAATCATACTTCCTAAATTTTTACTGCCATAAAGAAGATCCAACACTGTTCAGTGCCGCCCTACTTATGAGGGCAAGACTTCACTGATGTGGTCAGTGTCGGCCTCTTTAGGCCAGTTAGCCCCAATTCCATTCCGGGTCCTTAGCTAAGGATGTGCTTCCAATCCCCTACTAATGAAACTCTTTCAAGTAAACAATTATAATCTTTGCAGATTACCTCGAAAGTGATTCAAACTAGGTTGTTTATACAACGAGTAGGTGAACATCGTGGGATTCTTCATGCTACACAGGGCTCATCTAACTCAACAATCAGTTTCACTGTTCACCACAGAAAATTATGACTGCACATAGCTTCATATGCTAAGTTTCTATCTGTGACCCAAGAGCATAAGCACTTCCTAATGAATCTGCTTCTTCCACTGTAAATTATTCTCCCTATACCAGCCAACCAGCCAGGGAGGGGGGGAGGCACGCTCCCTCTCTTCATCAGTGATTCACCCTAAAAATAAGTTTTCCCAGAGAAGAGCAAAAGTTCAGAAAAACTATCCCCTGCCCATCTGAACTGGACAGTCTGGTTGAGACTCGCTGCTCTACCTGCAAAGACTCACGGACACACCAGACAGAACAGAGAACTCAGACACAAATTCTCTACAAAGATGCAAGAACACACACTGGAAAAAGGGCAGCCCCTCCAATAAATAGTGCTGGAACACTGGACATTCCCATGTAAGAGAACGAAACTAGATTCCTATCTCACTACACAAAAACTCACTTGAAATTGGATATGGTCCTAGTGCAAAGAAATGCTTCAGGGAGCTGGTCTACTAGGAAAGTTATTTTGGATATAACAAAAGCAAAAATAGACAAATGGGGTACATCTAACAAGGAATTAACAGAATGAGCGAGGAATTCAAAACTCAATAGTAAAAAACTTTTTTCATTTAAAATGGGTAAATAAAATGAACTCTCATTTCCCCAAAGATGCACAAATGACTAACAAATATGAGAACATGCTCAGTATCGCCGATCACTAGCAAAATGAAAATCAAAACCATGATGAAATAGCATCTCACCCCAGTGTGGCGATTATCAAAGACAAAAAACAACATGTTGGGATGCATGCAGAGAAAGGGCAACTGCCATGCACTCCTGGGAAGGTGATTACAGAGGGACAGAAACAGTACTAATGGTTCTCAAAAACAAAAACCAAACAAAACCAACTTGCAATAGAGCCGGGCGTGCATGGGTGTCAGTGCCCTGAGAGGCTGCAACACTAAGCATCCACGATCAAGGCCAGCCAGGTAACTTAGCAAGACTGTCTCAAAATCAAAACTGAAAAGGGGTGGGGATGCAGCTCAGTGGTAGTGCTCTGGGTTCAACTCCCCTGTACTAAAAAGCAAGACAAACACCAGAAATATACCTGCCTCAAAACTAGAAATGAACTACCACAGGACTTAGCAATCCCACAACAGCCAAGACACGGGGGCCAGCCCACATGCCCACCCACACGAGCGTGAACAGTGGGCCACTGCCCAGGCCAGAGAGCAGAAGCCTCTTCACAGCAACCCCGATGGGACCAGAGGACACTGCCACACGCCAGGCACAAGCTCCAACTCTTCTCACTTGCACATGGAAGCTAAAACTCACTTTGGACACCAAGAAGAGCGCTCTCCACAGCCTGGGAAGTGGCAGGGAAGTTGGAGGGGAAGGGCCACAGCAGACTGTCCTGACACTCAGCACCGAAGCAAGCAACTGTGGTTGGTAACAATTAAAGCCTCTGCCCCAAGTCCTCTGAATCCAGGACTGCACAACAGCGGGACAGACAGTACTGGCCTGCAGCTCCTCCTCGGCCGCTCAACTTCAGGGAGGCCTATGGTTACTCCTACCAGGCTGGCTTTTGTTCTTGAGACAGGGTCTTGCTATGCAGCCTGGGGGCCTCAAACTCACAATCACAGGTGTTGTGTCCCCATGCCCAGCTTGACTTTCATCTTTACAACTCTGACCCTTGAAAAAGTAGAAACTTCAAAACCAAGTCATCAACCTAAACTCAGGAATAAACACTAAGAAAATGAGCAAACTAGTGACATTCTCAGGTGCACTCTTTACACATTTTAAAGCAGGTCAGTTACGCCACACGGTCCAGCACCCTTCTGACGACTTTGGGGGCTGAGGGCCCAGTTCCAGCCTCGCCTGTCACGAGCCACCTGAGCCCTCTCAGGTGGGAGCAGCACCGCACACAGCACCACTTACTTATTTTCAGTGTCTGCCACAGGGTGCTCTTCACCTTCTGGTGTTTCCTCAGGCACATTTGATTGATCCAAGTCACTGCAATTATAAGACAGTGGTTTCTGAATGTATTTGGGGGACTCTCTAAGGAAAAGAAAGAAAAAGAAAGGCATCCAGGTCCATTTACATGTCACTGAACAGTTCTTCACACAAAAATATCAACTTTCACATGCTTTAAATTGCCCTACTGAATCCCCCCCCAGTAGACCTCTAAGAGAAAGCAACGCATTAAGCTACCGGCCAGCTCATTCATACTTTAAAAACAAAGCAGCACCTGCTTATCAAATTTTGTAATTCTGCACCAGCTAAGACAGGAACTACAGAAGACACATAGCTATCAGAATATCCAAATTACTTCAGAACAGCCAATGGTTTCTTTCCCCATGAAAACTTTGCCAACAGACACGCTGAAGCACAGAAAGCTGGTATCTCCCTGGCCGGTAAGACAGTAGCTGAGACAAGAGCACCCATTCTCGACTCAGAGACAAAATTAAACAGAAGAGTGGGTGGGGCCCTACTAAGGCATAGATTATTTACTAGAATTGTTTATTTAAAAAAATCAGAATACCAACGTTAATTCGTCTTTGACAGTCCCCCAGTTGTGAGATCCGCTACCTCCTCGCTTGTCCTCATGCTTCAGGCCACTGTAATGTGAGAAAGAACTAACAAAACTGAGTTAACATAATACTCTTTAGTTCTAGAAATTCAAATTTTGTTTTTTAAAGAAACATGTTAAAGTGAAAATCAGTTAACCACCAACAGAAGACTTACGATCTATCACTTCCGCTGTGCCTGTCAAATTCACGCTTGCCTCGAGAGTCGAACCCATCTCCTCGGCTCACGCCTCGGCCCCGGCCGCCTCGCCCCCTTCCAAGGCCCCCGCGCCCCCGGAGAGGCCGCTCAATGATGGGCCTGCAGCACAAAATGCAAAACTGTACTGCCAAAATTTCCAGAAAAGGGGACAGGGAAAATTCATTCAAAGGCGCACAAATACACAACATGTTTATGAGCTCATAACCCAACAGTTACTCATACTTTAGAAAATTCAAGTCCATTTGTAAACACATGAAACCAAGACAATAAAATTACTTTGGCTTTCTTTAAAAGACTACTCATGCACATCTTTTTTTTTTTTTTTGCTGTTAGATTAACACATCAAACTCACTTAGCCCTGAGTGATTAACCAGTAGCACTGTCCTTTTAATTCAACATCTGGGGAGGGCAAGGAAGAGAAACCTGCCACCAAGTCCCCAAAGTGTTTCAGTGTTTCAGGACGAGAGCTCTAAGCTCACTCTCTCAGATTTTCCTCTTTAAAGCTGGGAAGTAACCAGCATGCCCCTCTCCAGCAGTTATGCCAGAAGATGTAATCACAAACTGACAAAATAGATTAAAACAAAAGAAGACAAAACAAAAATTACCTATCAACGGAAAACTCTCCCCCTTCACCCTTTTCTTCTAGTGGTTTTTCAAATCTTCTTTCACGAGGTGGTCGCCGTTCGGGTCTCCTATCAATTATTTTGCCTTCCCCCTGAAGTTGCTGATCGGGTCTTCTTCCAACGCGTCTTATTCCTAAAATGATAAATACTCGCATAAGCAAATCATGTTTGCAAATACGAAAGTTTAGGCCTAGACGATTAAAAAGGCATATGTTGGATATCCCACATGTGTTAAAAAAAAAAAAAAAGCTAGAGAAATCCGAATTTTAAGGCAAACTTATCTTAAACGTATCTGTAGTTGCCAAGCCACACCCCCTTCCCAAGCCGCGCTCCTGGGCTTAGTCAGGGGCAGCCATTCTCCAGTCAAGATGCCAGTCTCTTGGCATAAAAAATGGATACATGCACAGTACACACATCTGAACGCACTGCCACACTCCATAGTTTTAAAAAACCCTGTTTTGAGTTCGGAAATCATTTATGACTATGGAGGATGGTCCTTTCTTAGGGCTTGCACTCCAGAGCATTTTGTTTTCAAGGATCTTTCAAAACTACACAGAAAGACCCTCTTTTAAGCAATGTAAAAGAAACGGAGGACATAAAGGGTGTATCACAGTGGCAGGGTGCATGTTAACATTAACCCACACAAAGAAAGAAGAAAAATAAAAAATGGGAATCTTGTGGCACTGAAAGCTGAAACATTCATTCCCCCCTTACATTTTTCCTGATAACATCTTGAGACTCAGAAAAACAACCAATATCAATTATCTGTGGCCTTAAAAACACACAATTGAGATTTCAGGTAAGCTACGTTTCCTTTATTATGTAAAAAAGCAGCTGAGAAAATGGTTTTATGAGATATGAAATTATTCCACTCTGCTGCTTCCTTAGAAGCCCCACGAAAAACCGCCAGGACACACCCACTGCTCACAGCAGTCAGGGGAGCAGAGGCATTCTGGGTCACCCTCTAGCAAGTCTAAGGCTCAGCCCCTGCAGCCCCTCAGGACAGACCAGTGGCAGACCTCAGGCAAGGCATCAAACATCTCCGAGGCCTCGCGTGCTGGGTGGAGCTCCATAAGGGGCCAGGCCCTGTAATGATGTCCAAGCCAAACACGCCCAAAAGAACAACACTCAAGATGAGGCCTGTACAATCTAAACTCCGCAGGGGACTTGAGGTACAGCCCAGCGCGCAAGGCCCTCATCTCAACCTCCACACCTCCAAAAATAAACACACGTAATGAAAAATGGTACTTTTAAAAAATGCAACTGTCTTTTGATGTACTCACCTATACTTGCAAGCTAACTCTACCACAGTCTAGACTTCATTAAAAAACAACCACAAACCTAGCCTACATCCAGTCGTGTTCTACTGTGTCAATTCTCATGCTCTTCACGTGGACAAGACAAGCCCCGGATTAAGGTGAACATTAAAGGCCCATCTAAAGCATGTCCAGCTCGGGGTCAGGCAGGCCTGTTAGCAACGGCACAGAACACGGAGCAGGGCCACAATCCTTGCCACCCTAAGAAAGAGGCGGGAACCGTGCCTCAGGCCTGCCCCTCACCCATTCATAGACCACTGACAGGTGCTAGATTCCCAGGACGTGCGCAGTACTTCTGGTGCAAAACATCTGCCCACATTCACAAGCGTGTGTTTTAGAATGCTCTGAACTACAAAGGAAAATGCTGATAGCTAATGTAGAATAGCTAATTCCCCCAAGGAAAGAATCACTTAATGACAATTGTTAGAGGGACGGGGATTTAGCTCAGTGGTTCCGCTGCAAGCGCAAGGTCCCGAGTTCAATCCCCAGTACCAAACAAACGACCGACAACTGCTGGAGACTCAAGAAAGAATTCCCCGCGTTTGAAACTTAAACGCTAGTCTCCAAGTAACAGGTCGTTTCACCAGTGAGCTTCTTATCAAAACAACCGAGGCCCTCAAACCCTGCTCCTACTTCGAACACTTGGTGGGAACACATCTACCTCGTACGTTTAGATTTTCAACTTTTTCAGTTTTTAAAAAACCCGAAAGCAAATTCCGGCATAGTTTAAGTAGTTACACAGCCAGTGTTCCTTAACGCAGGAATTAAATGCCTTGCTCGCCTGTGGAAGATTGCCGTAAAGCTTAATTAGCTGAGTAGGTGCTCAGCCTAAGCCATGCTTTCTAATACTGCAACCATGCCCTCCACCTGTAGTTTTAACTTAAGAATTGTTTTATTCACCACCTAGGTCCTAGATTTTTCATTTCAAGCTCACAAAAGTTGTCAGTGGAAAACAAAAACCACCTAAAAATCCAAACCCAAGACCTAACCCCAAAGCTAGGCGGGCACAGCGGTCGGGAGCACGTGGCAGTAGGCTAACTTCGCTCTCCACGCGGAAAGGCAACTGCAGGCTCAGGGCGAAGCTCCTGTACCCCGGCTGCGCATCACGCACGCTCCTCCGTGGTCCTCCTCGTCTGGCCTTTTCATCCACAACAAACCAATGAGGCCAAGATGCAAAAGTCAAGACAACCCTGCGAAACTCAGGGCCCAGTGAAATCCTGACCCGGCTGCACGCACAGGAGCTAGGGGAGCTGCATAGCCCCCGAGCTGTGCTGCGGGCCCCTCTTGACAGCCTCGCGACAGGAGAGCACCTGCGAGTTTCTCGGCGCCAGCGCTCGGTCTCCGTTCAGAATTCCCGCGCCGCCCGACTGAGCACACCACGTCCGCCTGCCGCCAAGTTCGCTCCACACCAGCAAGTTGCCGGGGGACAGCGCCCCACGCGTGGCAACCCGCGGCCCCGCACCGGAGCGCCCCACGCCGTGGCGGGACAAGATGGCAGGAGACCGAGGCAGTCCCCTCTCCCGGCGCACGCGGGCCAGAGCAGGGCAGAGCCGGGACGCGGCGGACCCCGGGCGCGCCGCGCCCTTCACTTGCCCGGGCCGCGGGGCGCGAGCTCGGGGTGCCGCCGCCCGCCCGCACGCCCCTCCGCGTGCGCCACCGGAGGGTCCCCGCCCGCCCGCCCGGCTGCACCTTCTTTCTTCAGCGCCACGGGCGGCTGCGCCTCCTCTTTCTTGTCCGCCACGCCGACGCTGGGCGGCAGCGGGTTCTTGCGGTCCTTCTGGGACTCCTTACGCAGCTGCTTGCCCGCCGCGGTGGAGTTGGTCTGGGCCGCGGCCTGAGCAGCGCTCTTGGCCCCGGGCCCCCCAACGCCGCCCCCGCCGGCTTCTTTTTTCTTGTTCTCCGCAGCCTTCAGCACCTCGAAGGGGTCCGATTCGTCGTCAAATAACTGGTCGAATCGGTTAGTGACCACGCAGCCGAAGCCCTCCTGTAGGTGCCCAGGCATGATGGTGGCTCGGCGGCGCGTTCCTCCACGGATTGCAGCGGGCCGCACCGAGCCAAGAGCGCCTGCTTCAGCTCTTCCCACAAGATGGCCGGACAGAGAGAGGGGGGCCGTCTTCTCTTCCGGCGCCAGGCGCACTTCCGGGGGTGGCCTGCGCCGCGTGGCATCATGGGGTTTGTAGGCTAAAATCGTTTTCCCTACGGTGTTTGCAGGAGTCGGGACTACAATTCCCGGTGCGTCCTGCGCGGCCACTCTTCGCGCGCGCCGCGGAGGCGGGTTCTCGGGCGCGAGAGCCGCGAGCATGCTGAAGGAGGGGAAGCGCGGCGGCGGCGGCAGTGGGCGGGGTGTCGCCACCTGCTCTTGTCACCCTGAGACTCGCAGGTCGGTAGCCACCCTGAAAACAGGAAAGCGTGGCGGCGCTCAGGTTTCATTTCGCCCGCCTTGCGTTCGTCCAGGGCTTTCTCCGCGCTTCCGGCCGGGTCAAGGTGACTCGCGGACCTCGCGACGAGAGCGTCGCAGACTTCCGGGGCGGCGGGCGGGCCGGTCCTCGGCGCCGAGTCGCGGCCGCCCCGTTCCACGTGGGGCGGGTTGCTGTGCCCGCTGCCGCCGCGCTGTGCTGGGCTTGGCCAGGGGACAGTGGAGCCGCCACACGCGAGCGTCGCGCGCCTGCCCCGCGTGTGTGACCTCCGAGAAGCGGCTTCTGGGGACGCTCCAGATCCCAGCCGATCAGCTGCCCGCCGGCTGCCGGCGACCCACGGTTTAGGGAGCTGTGGTGTTAGCGCCGCACGCCTGTCATCCCAGCACTCGGGAGGCTGAGGCAGGAGGATGCCACGGGCTCTGGGCTACCTGGCAGACTGTCTCAAAAACATCAAAAAAGATAAAAGCAAGATAAATGTTCGGGGGCATCTTGGCGTCTGCGAGGGGAAAAAGATACATCAGCAATCAGTAATGCCAGACAGCATGGATATTGTTAACATAATCCCGTAAGGGCGTGCAGTGTCAATGCATATGCCAACACATTTGGTGACGCCCTTCAGTGTTAACGTAGATTGTAATTTTTAAGCCTTTCTGTACAGAATACAGAAGAGGCATCGCCCAAGTGGCAGGTGCTGGGAGTACTTTCATCTCAGTGGCGCTTGTTAGGGGAGACGTGGCAGAACCGGTTCCCCATCCAAGAGGGCTGCCCGGGTTCACACCCTGTGAGCGCTGGCGCCGGCCACTGCAGGCTTCAGCTCCGCTGTGAGACCGTGACCATTAGCTCTAAGCAGCCCTGTTGGTAACGTTGGACGCCTCCTAACAGTTCCCATTTCTGAGCAGCTTTCCATCAGTTCCTTAGCAGAAATGGAAGACAGGGTTAGGGTTCAGGCACGTGGTCAAAGGCCTCTTCCCTGTTGCTTGGGTCCCCCCAGAGGTCCCCAGATCACACTGCGTTCTACAGGCTCTGGCTCTGGCTCTCACCAGGACAGGTGATGGGAGCTCTCCAGCATGCTCTCCCGAGCTCTGAAAGCCGCTTGAGTGCAATTTGAAGACCTCCACGCTTTAGCAATCCCTTTCTCCTCCTGAGAGCTTTGCTCTGCACTTTTGAGGCATGTGCGGAAGGCTCTTCTTAACCTCTCTGGCCACAGGGCAGTATTAACAGCTAAAAGATGACGTTTTAGACTGGGCTTAGAGCATTCACATGTGTGATCAGGTTAACCCTCAGCGCAATGACTTACCCCTCCTTCTGCAGTAGGCAGTACAGAGGGGCTGACCTTAGTCTCCGCCATTGAATGCCTGCTTTCCCCAGACATCTCCATGACCACCAAGCATCCATGCAGTAAGAGGATTTGAAGAGAAGCTTACTGGGGTGTAGGCTGCCAGGAATACATGAGGGTCACTTCCGTTCCTCAGACAAGTTATGTACTAAGATACCTCAAAAATGTTATGAATAGAGCCAGGGATTTAGCTCAGTGGTTCCACTGCTTGCCTCGAAAGTGCAAGGTCTCGAGATCAATTCCTGGTACAAAAAAAAAAAAAGTTATGAATAAACATTTGGGAGCAGGGGAAATCCTCTAAGAACATTCTACTTTCTGTTCCCCTTCTGTGAGATTTGGGTTAATCAAGAAAAGTTGAGTTACTGTCTTCTAACTATGTTCATTTATACTAAGAAATTTAAATTTCTGTAGGGCTGGGTGGAACTCAGTGGTAGAGTGCTTGCCTAGCAAGCAGCAGTCCTTGGTTTGGTGCCCAACACCACATGAAGTGGAGGAGACTGCACTCTCTCTCTCTCTCTCTCTCTCTCTCTCTCTCTCTCTCTCTCTCTCTCTCTCTCTCTCTGAAATACTAAAAACTAGCCAGGTGTAGTGACCCACACCTGTTTCCCAGCACTCTGGGAGGCTGAAGCAGGATTGTAATTTCAAGCTCAATCTGGGCATCTCAGCAACTTAACAAAACCTGTCTCAAAATGAAAAAAACACAGCTGAGAATGGAGTTCAGTGTAAAGGTCCTGAGTTCAATCCCGGTAACTGCTTAAATAATACATACATACATACTTCCTGCCACTCTCAATAGAATATGGCAGAGTAATCCACAGGGGGAAAGCTTTCCTGACATTTTATTTAAAATTAAAGGCATGATTTGTAAAGTAACAAGTTTAAGATTCCACCAATTAGGAAAGTGGCCTGAAATGTCAGCTCTGCAGCACTATTTGAATCACATCATGTTTCAGCAACAAATGCTGAAAACTAAAATACCTTGACTAAATATCCAGTAGAGGTGCCTAATATTAGCAAAGCTGAGATATGGGATGTTACTCCCCTTCCTGCCCTTTCTTGCTCTGTGGATGCTAACACTCAATTCTTGGCCACTTTACAATCTTGTTTTTACCCAGTTTTTTGGTACTGGGGATCAAACTCAAGACCTTGGGTTTTCCAGGCAGGTGAGGCGCCACTGAGCTACATCCCTGGCCCCTTGTTTTCACCCATTTCTTCATTTCAATCCTCTGTTAATGTTACCATAAGAAATATCTAACGCTATTCCCGTGTCCTAGACCCTGCTAGGTATTTTACATGCCTTATTTCTGCTAATCCTCAGAGTAAGATGAAATAAGTAGTTCTAATCCCCGTACCCACCATTACAGATAGCAAAACAGGCTAAGCACCTTTCCCAAATTCACAGCCCAGGCCGTTTGATCTTACAGCCTCAACACCCACCAATTATACCTGAGAGACGTGGTGGAGAGAAAGCCTTTCATCCTTACACTGCTACAGCATGTAGCAAAATAGGACTATTATTCTCTTGTAAGTAAGAGACTGATTTTTTTAATGTACTCAATGTATAGTACATTTGTAAAACAAACTAATAAATTAGTTCTTGTGAAGAAATGGACAAATCCAGCGTGTTTGAGGATGGAAAGTGAGGTGTAGCATTGCAGGTCTTGGCTCTCGGCTAATGATAGAATATCAAACCTAAAAATAGAAATATGGCACTTCCTATTTTGCTGCTCCAAACAACTTTCAAGATTGAGCCTCTTGATTTTAAGCTTCTTTTCCCTATATTGTGCTCTTTAAAATAAAACTAAAACAAAAAAGAAAAAGCTCTATTGAGATGTGATCCATATGCTATACAATTCATGCATCTCAACAGTACTGTTCAGTACTTTTTAGTGTATTTATCAAGTTGTCCAACCACCACAGCTAATTGTACAACATTTTTATCACCTCCATACTGGGTAACCATGAATGTACTTTCTTTCTCCTCTTATTTGCCTATTCACCCATCATGTAAGTGCACTTTTTCTGGCTGGCTTCTCTCACATATTCCGGGTTCCTGCATGTTGGAAAATGAATCAGTGTCTCATTCCTTTATGTGACGGAATAATGGCTCACTGCATGAATAAAGTACACTTTATTTATCCCTTCATTTTGTGAGGGGAATTTGGGTATTTGGACTTCCGGGCTGTTGTGGGCAATGCTGCTGTGCATGTTTACAGTCCATGTAGTTGTGTATTCAGACCTCTTGGCTGTATGTTGAGAATGCTGTAGCTGGTTCCCATGGATATTTAGCATTTTCAGGAACTGCCAAACTACTTTCCAAAAAGACTGCACCATTTAGAATCCCACCAACCATGAAGAGGGTTCCAGTTTCTTCATACCCTCATTCTAGTCTTTATGGCATCCTGGTGGGTGTGACGTGGGATCTTGTGGTTGGAATTTGTTTCCCTAAAGGGAATGGTGCTGAGCTGCTTTTTCACAAGTTTTTTGGCCCTTTTCACATGTTCTTTGAAAAATGTCTACTCAGATTCTTTGTCTTTCTTTACTTGGTGTATTTATCTTTTTATTGTCTTATAAATGTTTTTCATATATTCTAGATGCATGTCTCTTATCAGATATGTGATTTGCAAATATTTTTCCCTTTTGGGGAGGTTTGGGTTTTTTGGAAACAGGGTCTCGTTATGTAGCTCAGTTTGGCCTTGAACTCACTATATAGCCTAGGCTAACCTTGAACTTGCAGCAATCCTCCTTCATCAGCCTCCCAAGTTCTGAGATTACAGGCGTGCCCCACCATACTCGGCCTATTTTTCCTTTTTTATGGTTTGACTTTTTACTTTTTTCTTTTTTTATTTTACAATTATGTTAGAAAGATCATTCACAAAATACCATATCACTACATCTATAGGTTGGTTTATTTTTTTTGCTGTAGATCTAGATCCCATAGATTTTGTGTCATAAAGTTGAATGTGTTAAGTGTTAGAAGCGCTTCATGAATTTGCATGTCATCCTTGCACATGGGCCATCCTAATCTGTAATCTGTATTCCCTTCCTGTTTTAGTATGTAAGCTAACAAGGCAAGTGCTGATTTCCCCTTTCTTAATAGTATCTTTTGCAACATAAAGGTTTTCAATTTGATATGATCTTTATGATGAAGTACAATGAATCTGTTTTTCTTTTTTCATTGTGTTTCTGTTATCATATCTAACAACCCTTTACCTAAACCAAGTTTATAAAGATTTACTGTTTTTTGTCAAAGTTTTATATGCTTTTTAAATATAGCCTCACAGTGAGGCCTATACTCTATTTAAAATTGAGTTTTATATTCAGTGTATTCCCTGTCTCTAATATAAGTTTAATTCAAATAAAATTTTGAGTATGTCAAACCCAAAAGGAAAACTTTGAGAAGGAACAACAACAAAGGAGATGTGTGTTCTTCAGCTTTCTGTTACTATGACAAAATACCAGAGAAAAATGACCTGAAGGAGCAAAGGTTTATTTGGCTCATAGTTTCAGATGGTTCAGTCCATGGGTGGTGCTGTTGCTTGGGCTGGAGGTGAGGCAGAGCATCTCCAGGAGAGCCAATGGCAGAGGAGGCCACCTACCATTGGTCAGCAAGCAAGAGGGAGGGACCAGGGACAGACAGCCTTCAAGGCCACACCCCCAAAGACCTACTTCCTCCAATCGGGTTCCATCTCCTAGGTTTCCACACTTCCCATTGGTAAGGTCAGAGCCTGCATAGGCCAATCACCTTCCAAGAGCTCTGCTGCCTGGGGAACCAAGCCTTCCACACGGAAGCCTTTAAAGACCATTTCATATCCAGACTATAACAGATGATGTTATTCATTTTAATCTTTTTACAACATTTTAATTTGGACATAACAAAAAATACCAAGTTTTTAAGTTTAAACCCAAAGACACTCTGAGAGTATCTGTGTAAATCCTTTTCAAAATAGGTAGCATATTTCACACTTGCTACTATGCATCTGTCCATTCTGCTAATCGTTCAACAACTACTGCTGCTGTTTCACAGTGGTTAATGCCACATCCACCTGTGTGTGCCCCATTGTTCTCACCTTTCGGGTTCTGCAATGACCAGAGCAAGGCCCCTGTGTCCGTGGCACGCCCCGACAGAGAAGCAAGGCATAAACAAGCCAGTAAGTCCAGGACTGTGGTCATTTTCAGAGCCTGACAAGTACTGTGGGTTGTGAGTGAAGAGGGGACAGGGTTTTTAGGTAATTCAGTCAGAGAGCCTGCACAGAGCCAGGAGAAGAAACCAGGCTCTCAGAGAGCTGAAGAAAAAGACAGAAAAGAAAAACAATAATAAGCCCAGCAAGTGAGAGAGCATGGAATAGAAAGGAACTTACAAATTCCAAGCTGCAAAAGAAGAACAAAAATCTCTTCCTCTCTCTGCAGGTGATTAGCTGGACAGTACCTGGAAGACAATCTGTGCTTTCAGTTTGCTTCCAGTTTTCTTTTTTGAAGAAGGATCCTTCAACTAACCTGGCAATAAAACTTAAAACTTATCAGCAAAGAAATTATTCTTTGTTCAAAAGTTTTCTTTAAAAATTTTTCTGTTTTAGCAAGATCTCACTATGCAGTTCAGGCTGGCCTTGAACTCACCATGTAGCCTAGGCTGGCCTGCCTCAGCCTCCCAAGTGCTGTGATTACAGGTGTAGGTCACCACGTTCAGCACTTAAATTTCTTGAGTCAGGATCTTGCTAAGTTGACCTGGCAGGACTGGAATTTGTGATCCTCCTCCCTCAGGCCCCCACGTGCCTGGGCCCAGAACCATCAATTGAAGAGACCATCCCTTCCCCATCTTCTGTTTTTAGCACTGTTGAAAATCAGTTGACTCTAAACACACATTTGTTTGTAAGTGCTCTCCTGGGTTCTATTGCTCTGTGTATGTTTTGTTTTGTTTTTTTGGTACCGGTGATCAAACTCGGGTCCTTGTGTGTGCACAGCAGGCAGCGAAACCACTGAGCTAAATCCCTGGCCCTGCTCTGTGTATGTTTTTATGCCAAATCTGTATTTTAATTAGTTTAGCTTTGTAACATATTTGGAAATCAGGAAGTATTATTGTAGACAGGTAAATTAATTAGACATCTTATAGGCAGTTAGACAGAGCCAGCCCTCGGAGCCAACCTGGAGGACAATCAAGGCACATTCAGTGAAGGCCAGCATTGTAGGGTTTTGTTTTTTGGGGTTTTTTTTTGTTTTTTTTTTTGGTGTTTTGAGGCAGGGTCTCCCTTTGTAGTCCATGCTGGCCTTGAATTCACAGTGATCCTCCTGCCTCAGCCTCCTGAGTCCTGGGATCACAGGCTTGCACCACCATACCCAGCAAGGCCAGCTTTGTAAAAGGGGAATTGTTCTTTTTTTAAGTAATTAAAATTTTTACTAGTACATGTTTGCACACATAAAGCTTAGGTTCCTTGGGGTGAGTTGGTACATGTGCATCATGCATTGTAAATGACTTTCTGTCCCCTTCTCCCTCCCTTCAGAGAAACTCAGAATGCTGATTATTCTGCAGGTGCCACAGAACACGCTGACACCGTGATCTGATGCCGTCAGTTCTGTGAGGGCAGAGGCTTTCATACTGAGCCCATGGAAACCCCAGCATCGCTTTCCAGTCACTCTCCTGGTGGAAGGCCCCTCTCCACACTCCAAGCTGGCTTCCAAGGAGTGGATTTCAAAGCTGCTGCAGAGCAAGGTTGTTGGCAGAAGCCCTCCCCAGGGCGGGGCCACAGCAGATGCATACAGGTGAGTCCCTGCACCTGGGAACCCGAACCAGAGCTGATGCCAAGTGCAACACTCCGCCAGGGAGGGCCGAGTGGACTGCAGCCATCAGCTCAGAAGCTCTGGCCGCCTTCAGAGACACCACTCTTGGCAGCGGCTGTCTCTCCTGCTCCCGAGAGGAAGCGTGAGCCAAGGGCTGGCTGGATGCTGGAGCCAGGGTGGCAGGCTCCTGGGAGCAGGTAGTGTGTGCGGGGTCCTGGCTGGGCGGCAGTCCAGGAGTGATGGGGTGACGGGCTTTTCACCCAGGGCATTTCTTCCCCGTGGGGCCAACTCTGAGGAGGCGGGTTTGGGCTTTTTGAGGGTTCTCTATGAACTTTGGTCTGGGTCACTTCCCTCCTAGACTTGCACCCCAGACATGTGCACACCTTCGGAAGAGAGAGCAGATCTGCAGGGCAAGGGTGTTCATGGGCCTGCCTGGGCTCCAGCGCTGGGATGGAATCCCGCGCTGTGCTGCTCTGACCCGCCCAGGTGTGAGTCACCGCTGGGGTTTGGGGAGGTGTCCCCAGGATGGGGGGCTGCTGCTGTGCTTGTGACGTGTTTCTAGCAAAATGCTCCTAATGGCTAGGAGGATACAACTTTTTTTTTGTATTGTTTTGGTTTTTGAGGCAAGGTCCGCTATGTAGCCCAGGCTGGCCTCGAGCTCATGGCCATCTTCCTGCTTCAGCCTCCCAAGTGCTGGGATCACAGGTGTGTGCCACCTCACCCAGCATTATTTGACTTTCTGTGGTACCAGCGATGGTGAAGATTGCTTCCTGTACCTACTGGCCATCTGTGTAGAAGGCTGTACAGAAGACAGCGCGGGATTTGCCGCCCTTCCCTCCCACTCTGTCAGTCCATCCCCGGGATTCGTCCTCCGTTCCCTCCGAGGCACGGCCTGCAACCAGTGCTGGCTTCCTCCCTCAACAGGGCTTGAGATCTCGTCCAGCCTGATGATGGGATCCTTTCCTTCCCACGGGGGAAGCTTTCCTCGCTTTCCTCTCCCACGGAAGGATAAAGCCTGGCATCTTTTGCAAAGCACCAAACCCCTTTGTTCAGTGGCGCCATTTCCTTTCCTGCCCTGTCACTCTCATGTCCCAAACCCTCCAGTCACCCGGTGCTCACTCGTCTCCTCCCCTTCTGCACATGGGCATGTGCAGGCCCCAGGCCCTTGGCACTGCTCACAACTCATCCTCTTCTCCCAAGTCGTGTAGCACATTCCTTCTCACCCACAGACCGCGCCCTGGGTTCACGTCCTGTGCGAAGCCTCCCTTGCCTGCCCAGTGCTCTTCACTCCCAACTTCTGCCTTGGTTGCAGAACTTTCCACCCTGCGTCTGTCACTGTGTCTCTGCTCAGCCCTGTGGTGTGTAAGTACTGGCACGTGGGTGTCTGGACGAGCCCGTGTCCCCCGCTGGGTTAGGGGCCTGGGCTTCCAGACCTCTTCACGTCCTTCCCGCGGTCTGCCCTGTGACCCCCATGCTCAGTGCACCGCTGTGTGCCTGGGCCCGTGGGCGGTGTCCCTGTGGATGAAGTCAGAGCCCCCACGGTAACGAAGTGAGGTCAGCGCGATCACAAACCCACTCACAGATGGCGCCTGAGACGGAAGCCCTAAGAGACGAGTTGTGGGACCTCGAGAAAGTGGCTGGCAACGCCACGCCTCAGCTGGGGTTTCCGGTTCCAGTTTCAGTTCTCCTCACGCTCTGCCCTGGTCTGTGCGTCTGCAGGCACCTGTGCTCTTTTCGGTGCTGGAGACTGAACTCATGCACGGCCTTGCGCTGAGCTGTGACACGCGCTCGCAGCCGCCGCGTTGCCGAGGGTGAGCTTACCCTTGGGATCCTCCTGCCTCAGCCTCCCAGAGTGCTGGGGTTACAGGTGTACACCACCAAATGAGGGGCTTTCAAATGAAGGCATGAATGAGTAAAATCCTGTCCGATGTCTGCAGGCGAAGAACCCTGAAGCCTATTTAAGAAAGGAAGATAGAAGACACATTAGGAACTGCAATGGAAAGCCATGGTTTCTCTGGGAATGGCTGGAACACAGTGAGGACTTCCGGCGGCTGCAGGGGTGACCAGAAGTTACTGGTCACCTGGAAGGAGGCAGAGCCTCACCTTGATAGAGGCTGCAGGAACGTGTCTCCTCATCAGGCCACCACCCTGCTGCGTAGCCCTGTGACCTGCATGTGCTTATCATCGTTGCTAAACCCTAGTTTCCTTATTTGTAAAACAGGGATATAATTATTAGGATCCGGGCATGGTGGTGCAGACCTGCAGTCCCAGCCCATGGGAGGCTGAGGCAGGAGGATCTCCGTGAGTTCCAGCTAACCTGGGCTACATAGTGAAACCTTGTCTCGAAAAGAGCCAAACAAAAATAATAATAATTTAAAAAATAATTACTAGGACTCTCTTGGGATTGTGAGTATTGAGTGAGCTAACAGGCTCACAGGCCTTAGAGCAGAGGATGTAGTTAAGTGTGCAAAAAAAGAAACATAAGGGGGTTCTGGCTGTGTCTGGGTATCACCCAAAGCCTCCTGTGGTCACGGTGGGCTTTTCAGAGGTGCTGGATCCAGAGTGTGTGACCCTGGGACTGATTCATGGTGCAATGCTAGGCTCAAGGGCACCGGGATTACGGGTGTGAGTGCTGCCCGCCCTAAGCAGCCTGGATAAGACAGAAGGGACGGAAAGAGCTGAGGTCTCCCCTTGTTGCTTTGCTGCCTTCTGCCCACCATGGGCTGTTTCTCCTCGGCCCTGCCACCCCACTTTGGAGCCAGCCGACTATGGCCTGGAACCTCTACACACGGTGAGCTAAATAAACCTTTCCTCCCTTAACTCTGGGTGTGGGGTATTTTGTCTCAGCAATGAGAAAAACAACTAAGACAGGGAAAGTGCTTTCTCCTGGGGCCAGTTTGTGCAGAACTGGGGAGAGAAGGGCCCACGGCTGGGCCAGTGCTGCTCTTTGTCAGCGAGTCTGGAATTGAGTTAGGAAACGGGAAGACAGCAGTGGGGGACACTGCAGTCAATTGGGGCTCCCCGCCCTGCTTAGAGTGGGCCTCTCAAGGAAGGGAAGCAGGATGCAGGGGCTGGGCCTGTGGCACCCAGGGCTGCCCTATTCCAGAGCAGCTTCCCAGGTTCCCACTCTGCCCTCAGTGTCTTCCTCAGTTCCCCCTCTGGCTGTGAACTTTCCCCACAAACAACTCATTGCAAAGTGCCAGGAAAGGCTCCTACTTCCTCTGTGATTATTCTGAGGGGAAGCAGTGAAGAATGGAAGTCAAAGGAAGTAGGGAAGTGCTTGGGCCCCTGCTGTGAGCCAGGAAAAGGCCAAGGGCAGAGGCCGCGCTGAAGCCACTGTCAGGAGGTGACCCTGGAGCGACAGCTTGCAAGGCGGTGGCCTGGAGTCTGCCCAGCAGGGCCCACTGCAGCCCAACAGTGAAGGGCCACCCAACTTGGTGACTTGCTGAGGGTTCAGACCCGGACAGTGCCTGGAGCACAAAGAACACCCTGGAGACTGGCACCAACTGCTTCCGCCCCCCAGGCCACTATTTCCTGCCTTGAAACAAGATCAGCAGGCCCCGGTGGCACACACCTGTCATCCCAGCACTCAGGAGGCTGAGGCAGGAGGATCACCGTGACCCTGTCTCAAAAAAATAATTGAAAGATGCTCAGAGGGCTCTCTTCCCAGACTTGCTGCCTTTAGCATTTTCCGGGTGGGCCCCACAGCCCCTGTGTGGGTATGTGCTGAGATCTATCGCTGCCACATGAGCTGCCCCCGTGCAGTGACTCAGCTGCTCTGTGTGACCATGTCGCTCTGCAGCTTGCTAGTGGGAGGACCTGGCCAGGTTCCGAGACCTCTCACCCGAAGCCATGCAGGGCAGGCACGAAGCGACTCCACAGGAGACCTGATGTGCCTGCGGCTCCTAGCCCGGCACAGGGCAGCCCGGTCCTCTGCGGGGATAGCGGCAGTGGTGGCAGGAAGTGGCCAGAGAGGAGAGGGTTCCGCAGGAGCAGAGCCTGCCGTGTGCAGTGCGTGGCCTGGGAGGTGGACCTTGTCTGGCAGACAGAGTCCCAGGGCCCGGCTTCAGGAGCCTCCAGGACTGGCATGGGGACTCCCGAGATGGGGCCTGAGGCGCAGACGTGGAATGTCAGCACCAGGACTCTGCGGCAGGAGGACCTGGGCTGAGAGGACCCAGTGTGGGCTGCTTTGCAGGTGGAGCTCTGTGCACTAAAACTTGAGGGTGAGCCCGGGGTGGAGGGATATGACGGTCGTCCCAGCACTTGGGAGGCTGAGGCAGGAGGATCATTGTGAGTTTGAGGCCAGCCTGAGCTACACGGTGAATTCAACACCAGCCTGGACTTCATAGCGAGACCCCGTCTCAGGCCTCCTTCCCCCCCCATATTTAAAGGTGAACAAAGTAGGGACAGCCGAGAGCTGACCACAGAGCTGCCAGAGAGAGCCGTGCCCTGGGCCACCCATCCAAAGCCCCTCGAGCCAGCTTTCCACATCCCCTCCAGCCCAGGTCAGTGGCTGTCTGGCGTGGGGCGTCCCGAAAGAAGAGCTGATGCTCATGCAGTCTGAAACTCGTGTTCCATTCCTGGACCTCAGCACACCGCCTGCAGGGCTTTATGTAAACTGGTTCGACAGCTGTGCAGATCAGTGCGGAGATTCCTCAGGACACTGAAACTCGAAATTCCACTCGACCCGGCTAGTCTCCTTCTAGGTATCTTCTCGAAAGTGTTAAAGGCATCATATTACAGTGATGCAAGCACACATGTTTATAGCAGCACAATTCATACTAATTCATCATCTTGGAAGCAGCCTATATGTGCATCGATGGATGAACAGATAAAGAAAATGTATTTGCACACAATGGAGTACTACTCTGCCACAAAGAAGGATAACCTTGAGTCATCTGTAGGAAATGCCTGCATTTGGAGACCATAATGCCGAGTGAAATAAATTACACACACAAGCTGATGTAGCACATGGATTTCTCTTCTATGAGAAATCCAAATTATAAATGAAGAGCAAAGTGAAAGACGAGAAGTAGAGAGATCGATCTTTCTCAAACGGGAAGGGAGACGAGTGTGATCGTGCACACTTGTCATCCCAGCACTCGGGAGGCTGAGGCAGGAGGATCTCTGTGAATTCGAGGCCAGCTGAGGATACATAGTGAATTCAGGGCCTGCCTGAACTACAAAGCAAGACCCTGTCTCACACAAACAAACAACCCAAAATACAAAGAACAAATGGGAAGGGGACCTTGAGAGAGGGATGAGGGAAGGAAGCAGATGAGAAAGGAATGAAGATGAGTTATGTCCATGGACTGCTCCACACAGGAACACAGACAGGTGCTGCAAGACCGTGAGAGCAGGGTTCTTCATAAAGCAGTCCTGTAATTAGTTTGTGCGTAGACAAATATTTTGCTTTCATCATATGTTAACAAAGCTGTTACTAAAACCTGCTTTCAGGTAACCACTACCACAGTTTTGCCTTGAAGGTTTTATATGTATGTATTTATATATGTATAAAGATTCACTCATACGAGCATGCTGCACGTATACAGATAGGTGCTATAATGATTCTCAGCACCCACAGCTCGGGAGGCTGAGGCAGAGAGAGAGAGAGAGAGAGAGAGAGCCCGAGAGCCCGAGCCAGGCTCAGAACCAGCCCATTGAGGTCCTAGGTCCCCCTGCCCCCACTGAATTTCTCCGGAATCAAAGATGTGATGGTTCTCAGAGATCTGTTCTCAGAGGCTCTTGCTCTGTGGACATTAATTTTCACCTTTTAATTAGGAGAAAGGTGTTGGATTTAATCGTCTTTAAGATATTTTCCTACTTTAACGTTTTGCTTTGCTTTGTACTGGGAACTGAACCCAGGCCTTCCACTGAGCTACATCCACAGCTTTTATATTCATTTATTTATTTACTTTGCGGCAGGTCTCACGAGGTCGTGAAGTTGAGTTGACAGAAAGGTGGCCCACCATTGCTTATCCCGAGCTTTGGAGTCCAGTGGTTTCAAGATGCAGATGGGGGGATAAGATGATCCATGCATGCATGTAGACTGCGTCATCTCACACTCCTGAGAGGTCTGGGAAGGACTCCATGTCACCCGTTATTTCTGCAGTGAGTGCGTGAATATTCCTGCTCAGAGTGCAATAAACTGTCCAGTCAGAGAGCCATGGACCGCTTCCGGTTTTTCTGCTACATCAGTTCAGGTCAAGTTCCATCTGGCCACAGAGTGAGTTACAAAACAAAACACAAATCACCTCCGAGCGCTCAGTGTTTACAGCTTCTCTCTCTCTCACCAACTTCTGCTCGGCCTGTCCCACACCAAGGGTGCCCACCCCTGGCTTCCACACTGATCATTTTTGAGTGTTTGTCCCGAAAAATCCCAAGGTAAGAGATGCCTGTCGGATACAAGCAAGGCCTCCTGAAAGGTAGTTTTCATCTACAAAGGCACTGCCTTCCTTTTAAATACCGGGCCCCGGTGTTGTGTTTTTATTCAGTGGAGTTCAGTTTAATGGACACATTGCCAGAGAAGTTTCTTTGATTAGTCATATCAATTTTGATGAATTTGCCCCCTGCCAAGATTTTTTTTATTTTAAATAACTTTATTATCAAACACACACACATACAAAAAATTAAAACCATTGAAAGAAGAACAATGCAAGGGGAAAAAACTACAATAATATTCAAATACTGTAGAACTTAACCAAAATAAAACTGAAAAACACTTAAAAATTTTTCCATATAACTTAAAAAAGTATCTCAAGCACCAACAAGACACCAGAGGATGTGATTTGTTTCAGAAAGATCCCCAAAACCAACACTGAACAAATAATGATCTGGAAAAAAACTCCAGTTAGTCAGCAGACTCCACATAAGCCAAACTTCTCCCTAATTTAAATTTCAATACAGTCATATGACATGCGATGGAAACACAATCCGAGAAATATGTTATTAGGCCATTTCATCCATGTGTATTTTTTTTTTCCTTTTATTGGTACATTTTAGGTATACAACATAATGACATTCATGGTTGGAAATTTGCACCTTTACATAATCTCTCTTGGTTCTTATTTTTCCCCCTTCCCCTACCCTCCCTTCAATGCATGTGTATTCTTAATTACACTTTCAGTTTCTCACACTAGAGAAACTATTTGGTATTTACACCTGTGGGTCCTGTTTATTTCACTTGAGAGTATGCCCTCAGTGTGCATCCATTTAGCTATAAATGTCTCTAGTTTCTCATTCTTTATGGCTGAGTAGTGCTCCATTTTATAAAAAACCCACATCTTCTTTACCCAGTTTCCAGTTGATGGGCACTTGAGCCCCAGTGTTTTGGTTGGTGTTGCTTCTTGTTAGTTACTTTTACTTTTTAACCTGAAATGCAGCCGCCTCTTTCTGCACCACACCCTAAGAACCACATGCTGCATTAAAATCTCAAGTCCAGCAAAGGAAGGGGCACATTTGAAGATCTTCTGGCCACATCCCTCCCTCACTTAACACTCTCAAGGTTTGTGGGCCTGGTCTAGGTGCTTTTCTTATGCACACGATGCTGTTGTGTTTCTGCTACAGCCTGCTGTCTCTGAGGAGGTCCTGTTAGAACAAGCACCAGGGCAGACCGAAAGGGCATATTTGTTGTTTGTTGCCGTTGTTTGTTTTGAGACAGGGTCTTGCTATGTAGCCCAGCCTGGCCTAGAACTCCGGGGGATCCTCCTGCCTCAGCCTCCCGAGTACTGGGATTACTTTGTGACCTCCCCTGACGGCAGTGAGATTACCCACTAGTAACCAGGCTATAACCAGACAGACTTTCTAGACCCAATTCTGCC